ATCCTCATAGCCTACCCTTAGAGTTTCGCAAGACCATTGCTTTGACATTGCTAGATCAAAGATAGGCCTGCAAGGCCAATGAAATCGAACCCCAAAATCAATCCTGCGGTGAGGCAAGTGGCTTTCAAGCTCTTGTTGCTACTGCAAATCTGATACACCTGAAAAAATGTCAAAATCATTCTTTGCTTAAGCATTCGACACTTTCTTTTCACGCAGGATCAGGCCACGTGAAATTTTACACCACACTAATTGTCTAATTTTTGCGGATTTTTTCCGCAAAAGTCGCCACAGGGAGCAGCTTGGGAACCACATGGAAAACCCACTTTTGCACGATGGGTTTTTATGGGTTTCCGATGGGTTTTTATGGGTTTTTTATGGGTTGTTTACGGGTTGCCCCAAAGCCAGGTAATCCCAATTTATGGGTTTTTGATGGGTAAATTATGGGTTTTTATGGGATGATTATGGGTTTTTATGGGAAGATTATGGGTTTGGGCACCAAAACTCACTTTTTTTTGATTCCGATCCGACAAAAATCACATTTCCGACAGAAAATCCATATCCATTGCGAACTTGGGATAACAGGAATGCTATATTTCGAGGACAATTCGTCCAATAAAGGTTATCCTAATAGAAAAAATATGTTTATGCCAGCTTCAGCCCCCTGTGGGATTTGAGTAGATATTTGGGCACCTAGGGCACCTCACATGGCATGTAGGGACGCCAGTGGGGCGGTAGCTGCAAGCCTTTCCCGCCCCGGAGATACCTGTAAACTGAGCCAAGGTCAGCTGTGGCAAACAAGCCTTCCACATCCTCTGGAGTGGAGGACAGGATTTGTGGGCCAAGGGGGCATGGTGATGGAATAAGAGGTTCCATTGGTCTCCCCTGGATCAAGTCACCACGGATGTTCACGATGCGCTGGGCGAAGGGAACTGGATAAGTCCTGGGATACCAAGAAAAACAAAAGGGAAATTATCAGTAATACCAAATCTGATTTTATTTCATACGTATTCTGGGCTTCCATATGGGGATGTCAATATTTGATGGATGGGATTAGGTTTGAAAGGATCAAAGCGAGCAATAGCATCTACAACCATGGCCCATGGCCATCTGATATGATGTAAGGAAATCAAAACAGTACCTGAATTGAATCGAAGGTCTGTGTGTTTCGTAAATGTTTTGTACCATGCCAGAATCGCTTGCCTTCCTTGTTGATGTAATGTCTTACTGTTTGGACTTGGGCCCTCATGGCACGCCACCCCACATCCAAACGGCGAATGGCTGTGCTGTTGGACCAAGCGTACTGCCGCTTGGGAGTTGGGCTCCCGTACATTGACATCCACCAGCCGATGCGGCTGACCTGGGCATTTGGATGGAAGTAACACTTTTTGGGGTTACAATGGACATGTATACGTTAATTTTATTTGAAATAGTATGGCAATCAGACCTCTACAACAGTTTCAACTGTTCAAGATCGAAACAACATCTGACAAGTCTTGCTTGGACATATGTGGAAATGATATATTTGGAACTGGGGGTTGGGCTCCATGGTTTCCGAACAGCTTGTAGTGGTATTCCATCATGTGAAGCCATGCCGGGTAAAACTCCAAAACCGAAGAGCCTGGTTGTTCTAGTACCCAAACTCCACATTTGCAAGCAACGGCCATCAAAAGGAGGATTGTCCTGGGAATACGGAATCAAACAGAATCGATATAAAACATCTCATGGTTATCTAAATGGGGAACATTCTTGAATTGGAAATTCTATGTGTTTTACCTTTTACCCGTTCAAATTTTTGGGGGTCATACCCATGGGTGTCCTTTCCAACAGGGCATTGGACATGCCAACGGAGTAGACACTGGGGTCACCAATGCTGTTGCATGCGCTTCTCTTACTGGTTCCCCGGTTGACACCTGTAAACGATGAGCACTTGATTGCAAACCAGGAGATGCAATCCGATGTCTTCTGCTTCAGAATGAAGACGAGTGCCAACCTGAGCACGGCAGGCGGCAGTAAAGGAAGGGGATAGGAGCCCAAGTTGGATAATCTTAAAAGCATGTGGGAAAATTCTTCTTGGAGATGGGATATCCAATTTCGTGGGGGTATCCGGTTAATTATATATTTTTATGGGGGCATCAAACTAAGGGTTTACAAGCCCACCCACCAACAGCGAAGTAACGCAAATCCCGAAGGTGAGAGTAGATCATGCCAGTTAGATTTTCTCTGGCCCTGCTTCGTCTTGTCACAGTATAATATATCAAATTTGCCGGAAACATACCCAGCACGGCGCATGTACAGGGTGCAATTTGCGACCCCTGCAAAAAATTCCAGCCATTGGAACTCCTGGCCCGGGGGCTGAATGTGGGAACATGTCATGTCAGGACATAGATTTTGAGGCATTTTGGGGCTATGCAGGAAAACGAGACCTGAGTGGTTCCAAAAGGCAACGGCCAAATTGAACTTATTTTGTGTTTAATTTTATATCATCACCGAAAAAGAAAGTTTCAAACTATTTCAGGCATCTTCAAAATATTTACAAGATTGCCCACGCCTCCCCAAGGTCAAAAAGCCCATCGGTGTACCACACGAGGATCACGATTTGGAGGAATACCTGGGCCCGGCATTAGACCAACAAAAAATGTGCTCAATTACAATGATTGTTTTTTTGGCTTGGGAAAGAGTTCAATAGCAGAACCAAATTTAGCAAAGATACCCGTGGAGCGCCCAATTTGGACAAAATCCACAAAAGACCAATCAAGTCCTGTTCGTGGTGGATCCGGTTTTCCATGAGGCTGCACTACGTCGACCTTACCAAAGTTCCTTCCAAGGCTGGCCGCCTTGAGCCCATGAGATTCTACGAAATGGGAAGTCATTGGATAGATATTCATTGATCAGTTATAACCCCAAAAATAATCTGGCCGGGTGCACGGCGCCACTTTGAAATGGTTCTCCGGGTTTTCCGGACACGCCTGGTCTTGGAAGAAGCCGCACATTGGCCTCAGATTTCGGATCCGGCATTATGATTGTGACATGGTGTTAATTCCTAAGAAGGGGTAGGGAAACATAATGGATCTTGAAACCTTTGGGGTTTATGATGTTTTGGAAGATTCTGGCAAGCCCCTAGATAGAATGTGTTTCTCATGAATGTTCTTGTCCTGAAATGCCGAACCAATTTTCACGACATAATTCATCGAGGTCCAGTATTGGGGAACAACAAAAGACTAGGCTGACTGGTACTGACTTTTCGCTGGCTCGCGGCAGGTTCTTTCGATCGTGTGATCTATCCCGCAGCACCCAGGACAGAAGGGTGGTGGCATGGTCTCAAAAACTGCGTTGCTTGTGACAACCAAGGCTCCGAGAAAACATGGTTAATATTGCTCAATGAAATCATTTTGAAGGCATAGCTGAAATTAAATTCAATGGCAAAAGTCATGGGGACAGTCCCAAGCGACCCTATCAGCAAATGGACCCGTGAACGGACGTCGAACTTCATTGCTCCTAAGAAGTTCGGTATATAAGCTCAAGTAGTTACGAACATGGCACAGTCGTGATGACACTGTGCAGACCCTAAGGAAGCACCATGCCTTGCATGGCAGCAAAGGGAAACCCCCCAAAGACAATATGTCAGCAGTTGAAATTTAGTCAACATCAGCAGAACTCAGACGGCGAAGCACTTCAGCTCCAGCACTCCAGTAGTCGATGGCCAGTCGGTTCATGTTGTCCAGGTCATCATAAGATTCCACCATGTACCCAGCATCCTCGATGCACTTGGCCTCAAGTCCAAGCAGTGATGGGAGCGAACAAGCTTGAAGCATAAAGGGCCACAAGAATCTGTAGGGTGTACAGAAACCTTTCAACCTACAAAAACGTAAAACATGTTTTCGATATGCAAATACAAACTAGTCACCATGTGCGCAGCTGTGGCAACAGAAACAACCAGCCTCAAGAGATGCCCTCCTGAATCTGATGGGAATGTGAAAGAGAAGGGATCAGTGGACTTTCCATCGGCTCGATACATCCTGATTCCACAGCGAGCAGTCTTCCAGTAGATGTTGAGCTGCGTGATCTTGAATTCAAACTGTTGGGTCACAGCTTCCTTGATGTAGAACTTCAAATCATCGAACTCCAGGTTGTGGTAATCCAAGGCCTCCGTAAAAGACTGGATTTCTTTGATCTCCTTCTGCAAATTCCCGTCCCTGGACGGCACGGATCGGCTCCTGCGTGGCCTGGACGCAGGTCTGCTGGAACCATTCTCAGAAATAGTTCTCTTCTTGTTCGCTTTCATCTTCGGCTTGCTCTTGTTAGATTCCATGGGCTCTCCCCCATCACCTTCGGAGCAAGCCTTCACAGTCCCCTTGTCCTCTGAAACACGGGAAGTCTTGGGCTCCTTCTTGGCTTTGGAAGAAGATGCACGGGAAGTCTTGGGCTCCTTCTTGTCCTTGGGAGAAGATGCACGGGAAGTCTTGGGCTCACTGGAAGCCTTGGCCTTCGCAGAAGGCTTTGGCCTGGAAGAGGATGCACGGGAAGCGCGTGGCTTGGAAGACGATGCAGCACGGGAAGTCTCGGGCTTCGGGGCAACAAACGGCCGAAGTTTCTTGGGTACCTTTCCCAACTCAACAGGATCCACTTCACCCTTCTCTCCATTTTCACACCCCTCACCATCCTCACCTTCCATCTCTTCATCATCATCACATTCATCTTCTGGTGTGGCTGGTTCTGCACGGTTCCCACGACCCCGACCACGTCCTGGACCTTTACCACGACCTCTTGATTTGCCCCGCCCACGGCCGCGGCCACCTCTGGGTTCATCCTCCTTCTTCTTTGCCTTAGAAGCTAGCTGATCCCGACGAGTCACCACTTCCTGCAGGGGGAGCTAAAAGTTTGAATAAGCTGAAAAGCGGCTGGGCACATGTATATAACGTATGTAAGGAAACATTCTTTAAAGAATATCTTGTAGACGTGTTTTTATCAGTGAATATTATTGTCACAATACTGTCAGAACCTATCATCTCAGGTTTCTCCGTGATGATTTTTTTTTTGAATCGCAGGACCTCAGTCTTTGGCTTCTCGATTTCAACTTCAGGCTCGATGGGTTGAGCGGGCACAGGTGTAGATCCCCCGGATGCCACCTCCGGATGAAGTTCAATCGTGGGAGACTTTCCCCTCCCTCGCTGATACTTTTGCCTTTTCACACTGGGCTCTTCAAAGCTGGGAGCCTTTGGTGGTGAAGGTTCTGGGGGGACCACTGGAGTCTCCAACATGGGCTGAGTGTCCACATCATCTGGACTGATAGGACCAGGGGCTCCTAGAGGGTTGCAATACCAACTATGGGATTAAGTTTGCAAAATATTTTGTAACAATTAACACCAAAAAATCAACAATCAAATGGGTCACCCGTGTCCTGAAGGGTTCAGCTTCGGACCATCGGCGACACTGGGAGGGGTTCCGGGCTTGACCGACTGTTTGCTCTGAATCCTTGGGTATGAGAACTGGAAAGACTTGGAAACTATCTCTTGGCCATGGATTGGTGGTTAATTTCTATATTTGGTTAGGGCCACCCCTTCCCAATATGAAAAGGTAAATCCAAAGTACATGTGTTCTGTGTGGGCAAGGGTCAACAACAACGCATTCTTCTTTTGCAAGAGTTCCTCCAAGATCTTGACACGCCGGTAAAGCATTTGGGACTTCACTTCCTCACCTCAGGGATGCAGGTGCTACCCCACTATCATTTGGTTGTCATGGGTTGCTGTAGGACATGGATGACTTATGATATTGCAGATATACAATTTGTCTGGTGATATATGCATGGGCCACTTGTGAAACACATTCAACTCCCATTTCATGAGCCTGTGGGTTTGCCAACTGGAGTTGGTGTCCGTGAAGCCGGCCCCATGCGCTTTGCAGGTGGAGTCACAAGCGAAGCTGCTGATGTTGCAGGAGACGGGGCTGCAGGGCCTGGGGTCACAGGCGTGACGACTGGTGGGGCAACTGGCTCCACAGTCGAAGGTGGAGCAATTGGCTCCAGGGATGGTTCACCGGCTTGTTCAGCTTCTGATTCTGTAGAAGACTGAGACGGAGATTCCCCATCAGCTTTGGTCTCTGGAAGAGACTCCTGGTCTGTTGATAAAACGTATATATAAACAATATAGCACAAGGAAATAGATACCCAAGACCAAAGTTCATTGGTGTTGTTGTTGTTGAATCATACAATAGTATACAATATAGTATATTTTCAAGGGTCCCACGAAGATTCCATATGATTTGACACCTGTCCTCATCCGAGATGTTCTGGCTCTTGGCCTTTGCCATCACCTCCTTGATTCTCTCCTGCCAAAAGTGTTGATTCCGTTTTGAATAGTGATTTTTTGGAGGTGTCTTGGTGTCAAGGTTATATGTTATGATACTGTATGTCTTGTCCCTATAAATACACCCGACCCCGGCCTCCAGATGCGGGGCGATAATCAGGAGCAGTTCGTGAAAGTCTGTGTCCTTTGGGCTGTTGGTTAACCCCAATAAAATATGTCACTTTATTATGTTGATATGTTTGCAATCCAATCTGTACCCCCAAAAAAATAGTAAACCCTGAACTGAGCTACAGCCGAAGTTCCAAACTTACTTCCTGGCGATTCGCCTTTCGCTTTATAAACCTCAGCATTTTCCTCAACTCCCATGCGTCGTCTTCAACGCAGCTGTCATCAGCAGCTTTGGAAGACCGGGCGTAGGTGTTCTCGCACTGCTCCTTGACTTTGTTGATCTCCGGCATCTTGAGCCCACAGGCATACAGCCTATGTAACATCGGTGGGAGGATGTCCATGTTGGAAGTGCACTGCTGAATGCTGGAGTCCTTGCCTCTGTCCTTGCTCATCACCAAGGTCAGGCCATCCCGTAGCCTAGCCCTGACATCTTCATTGGAATCCCACTCTGATGCCAGGTGTTCGCAATCAAACTGCATCATATTTGATACTTGTTTCCCTTTTTAAGACACCTCGAGCCAAAAGAGGCTTTGGCAACAAAAGGTTCTCCAACACATCTCTTCCCAATTCTTCCCACCCTGCCATTTGTGCCTCTGGCAGGAGCTTTTCTGAGAATCCGGGCGACTGGATCTGTGAGGTTGCCGTGGCATTGAGAAAATGAAAGCCAAAGTGGCTTTGGGATTGGGCGGCCAGGCTGGTGGATGGTTGTGAATCAAAGGGAAAATGATTTGGATCATATTAAACCCTATAAGCAGAGATAAAAGAAGGTTTTGTATCAAAACCAGGTTTTCGATATCAAAACCCGCAATTTTGTGGGAAGTGCTTCCAGAACCAGGTTATTGGACTGCAACCTGCTTTTTTGTAGGTTTTAGTTGAAGTAGGTATATACACATTGAGATATCACCAGCCCAGCTACTCACCGGTAATATCTAAAAACTGGTCTCTTTTCGCACCAAGATTCAGTGTACCAGGGTGTCCAATCCAGGCTTCTGAGATTGCTAAAGCGTCCAAGTTGGTGATGATTGGCCACACCCTGTCCTGCTAGGCAACCAACATCACAAGAGAGAACTGGCCACTGCAATCCAAACATCACACAAAAAATTGATACAAAGGGAGTATTCAGGACCCCGGCCATGGTCTCGGAATCGTTCATGTCCTGACGGGTGGCTAATTTTGTCACAGGCTCAGAATGACTCAAAGACCAAGCAATGCACCAACTGAGAGCGGAACAAAGCCAAGGATGAGGGGTGACGAGACAACACACCACAACCTGACAGTGACAGTACGCCAAGCAATACCAAGCACCCCAAGCACTGTGCCATCTGCAAAAGCCATCAAAAGCCCCCATAACTGCCATACCCAGGAAATTCATCTGCAAAGTGACCCCCAATGTGTTCGCTCTTGATCATCACGATGAGGTCCAGCAAAGTTTCCCACCTCCGAAAGGATGCCGGGCCCCGGGCTTCACTCGGGGATGACCTGGCTGACCTGGCTGACCTGGCCTCGCTCATATCTGGATAAGCCCAGCATCCTGGACGTGAACGAGGTTCTGGCAAATCTGCTGCATCGACAGTTGCCTCGGTCTTGCATAGCCACAGCTACAACGAAACAGTGTGCAGACAGTGCCCGGCAGAAACAGAAATGCGGAAGTGAGAAGCCAGCGAAAAGATGCAAAAGGGCCAGATTCATAGCATGTGACATATCTCTTGAGGATCATCATTCTCAAACTGCAAATCAAGCTGCATAAGCTTCGGTGATGATGGAATTGATGTCCGCGCTGATGTCCCCACCTGCTGCTCAGCGCAGCAAACAATGGTATGACCTGCTTGGTCATCAAGACCGGTCTATGGTCCCTTGTGCCTCTACCTCCCTTCATCTCCCATCTGATTTCATCTGATCTTCCGAATCTTGCAAAATCAAAGTCGGCACCCTTCGAGGACCAGCTTCATACATTTGATTCGTCTTCGGGCTTTTGTATGGTTTTGTGGCTTGCATGCAGCACCTGTTCTGAAGAAGTTCATCGGGCAAAAGCCGGTCTTGAAGTCAGGCCAGGAGTTGTGGCAATTCTCTATGCCTAAGAAAAAACAATACACTGGATGATTGTGGAACATGTACCAAAAAAGAATAACCAGCAACCAGCTTTTGCACAAGTCAATGTCAGAATCGACAGAGGTGCGAATCGCCTTTCCTGTGGCGTTCAGGAGCTCAGCCCAGTAGGAGACATTGGTGGAGCTTCCGCAATTGTCAATCTTCCTTGGAACATCCCAGCTGTGAGGTGAGGAGCCATCATCATCCATCCAAAAAGAACCCCTGCCATACCTTTTGTCATACCTCAAGCCAGTCACACGCCATCGAAGCCCATTTCGTTCACCATCCACTTCACATCATTTGCGTAGTGCGGCAAACCATGTTCATTACCTGCAGAGTCTTTGGCAATGAAGTGACACGTAGGAATTAGTGTAGTGTCAACATGCGTCAGTAGTATTGGAGTCAACTAAAAACGACAGGATTCCATCGCTCACAGCACAAATTTCTGAAATCTGCTCACAGCGATTGCATAACTAGGATGACAAGTGGCAAATGCAATTGTTGAGGTACGTTCCAACTTTCAGTTGTCGTGCATGCCCGTAGCTCACCAATTTCTTCCTCAGTTTATTTGACACCCGCTAGCCATTACCTTGCTGACATGACATGACTGAAAACAAAGACCCCAAAGATATTGCATTGCCCAACCTTCAACGATATTTCTAGGTTTGAGCCCTTTGGTCGATGTTTTGCGTGTTCATCCGGTGTCGAGAAAAGGACCAGGATAGAATTTCCTTCAAGTATCTTCAACTACTGTACGTAGGAGTAAATATGGACCCGGAACTATGCATTGACATGACGCTATGGGTGTTGATGCCGCATCTGGCAGTGCCAGAAAACATGCCATCAATTTCTGTGCATGGATCAACCCAGGAGCGTGACATAGAAAAACAAAGGAAACACTCGAAATACGCAATGCTGCGTCCGCTTGTTGCCATTTCTTTAGACTGAAAGTGTGTGAGATTCTCTGAGCGACATAGACACAATGGGCTATCAAAATGCCCTATCAAATCGAAAACATGCAAAAATGCAAAATCACATGATGTCATGGCTCATGGCTACACCATGGATGGGGATTGCATCTGCTTCTTGTGAAACAAAGTTGGCTGAATCCACTTGACATACATCCACAAATTTTCAAGTCGCTGCTTCATCCACTAGAAACCCACGCCGGAGTCACAACAAGAGCCTGCATTTTTTTCATGTAAGTGTCAAGGCAAATGGAGTCTGAGAAATCTTGATTGCGGGCACGGGCCGCGGATGTATGTATCATAAACCCTGGAGATCATCACCAGGGTATCTGTGCGACTATCAAAAACGCCCCAGTCACACAATGAATCTGAAAATGCTGAAAACAGTTTTTTCTCCTTCGGAAAGATGTCCGGACCTCGACTTACAAATTGCCATTCGTCAAAGAACTGCGACACGTGCCCGCCCTGATGGACCAGCAAGGTGTCGGGTTTTTGACCTGAAGCAGACCAGTCCTGAGTTAATGAAGCTGGCCACTCTGGGGCTGAGTTGATCCTCTTTTTTGGCACGGTTACTCACATGCCCGGAATCATTGTTTTCATGGGAAAACAAGAAACTAAGATCAAAGAAGGTAGAAGGTCTCTACCCAACGAACAGTTGACAACCTACAGGGGTAGCTGTCCGAGAGCCAAACAATTCAAACGCGCACGCGCTAAAACAAAACCGCAGTTTTTGTATTAATGGAAATATATCTACATAATTCTACATATGCAACATAGATTTATACAAAGTACTGCAAATGCTGTTTGCAAAAAAAATAAGATTCAGTAATTTACCAAATCTTCAATAAAGTAGTTTATCACAAAAATACCATAAGATCACAATCTATATGCAATACATAAGATTAAAACATAATCATCGAAGGAAGTTTAGAAGTCAAACTTCCGACAATATGGACAGATGAAAAGCAGAGATGGGAAGAGTCAGAGAAGAGAAGAGAAGAGAAGAAGAAAGAAGATCAAAAGAAGAGAGAATGAGAAGAAAGAAGATCCAGGTGCGCGAAAAGGTAGGAAAGTCGCGACACACCGTGTTTTTCCAATGGCTAAAGCGGCGGGTGCGGAGCCATCTAGCCAGATGAGAGATGAAAAATTGCACGCCGTTGTGGCACAAAGCAGATTTGCAAGTAAAAGCAAAAAAAAACGCATATTCGGACCACTTTTGGAAGTTGAGATGTCGAAAAAGTGCACGCAGTTGTGGCGCACAGCACATTTCGAAGTTGTTCGGACCACTTTTGGAAGTTGAGATGTCGAAAAAGCGCAGGCCGTTGTAGCGCGAAGCGCATTTCGAAGTCAAAAGTGCAAAAAACTGACGGGTATGGAGCACTTTTGGACATTCAGATGTCGTTTCGCGTGGCAGGCGCAAGGGATTGTGCACCTTGTCAAAAGTGAGCAAAACGTGAGGGTTTTTGTAGCATTTCAAAAACGATGGCAGGCGTGGGACATATGCAGAGGATATGGCAAGATGCATTTCGCATGGCAGGCGCAGTACAAGAGACGTGTTCATCAGAGCTGTTAGGAGGTCCGGGCGCTGATTTCCTGAGGGGTTGCATTTTGGCGCATCACTTGCATAGATAGACAACTACAACTACAAGTCTAAGTACCACTACGCTACACTACACTACACTACACCTACTACTACTACTACTACAACTACTACAACTACTACAACTACAAGTACAAATATACTACGCTACATTACACACCACTAATTACACTAGACTATACTAATTACACTACAGCTACTACAACAGCAACTACTACTACTACTACTACTCCTCCTGCTGCTGCTACTGCTGCTACTACTACTGCTGCTACTACTACTACTACTACACCACCACCACAGCCACCACCACCACCACAGCTACAACTACAATTACAGCTACACTACAATACACTAATTAAACTGCAGTACATTACAGCTACAAATACAAATCCAACAACAACTACACAACATTACGCAACACTACATTACATTACATTACGCTGCAACTGCAACTACCACTACATTGCGCTGCGCGACGCTTCGCTACAACTACAACTACAACTACACTACTTTACACTACAATGCACTAGACTACACCACACTATACCACGCTACAGTACACAACACTACAGTACACTACAATGCACTACGCTAATTACACCACACCACAACTGTTGTTACAACTGCAACTGCAATTACACTACGCTAATTACACTACATTACAGCTACAACTTACAACTACAATTACAATTCGACTACACTACACCTACAACTACACCCGCAACTACAACTACAACTGCGCTAAACCACACTACATCCAGCAGTTGTGGTGAGGTGACCACTGCAACCATTGCAACCACTCCAGAAAACACAACTCCAGCCACCTTTCGGTCCATCAGTGGATTTGCTCTGCCATCGGTGAGTCACAACAACCAACCCTTCCTATAGGTTTCCTATTGTTGAAACTTCCGCCACCGCCTTGTGCCGTACTACTGGTAAATACGATAGAGAATGTGTGACATATATTGTATAAATAAATATAAATAAATATAAATATATATATATGTGTGTAAATACAAATATACTATAATCAAAGGAAGTTTAGAAGCTAGACTCCCATGTTACGGGTCTTGAATGCAAAGCACAATCAATGCCAAGAACAATGAATGATAGCAAACAACGGTGACTGCAAAGAACAAGCAAAGAACAATAACGGAAGAACCAGGACTGCAAAAGGCAATCAAATTCAACTTACAGTTTTTGAAGGAAGTCCCGCACGAAATGCCGTTTTGAGAGGTAGCAGATACACGAACCGTATGCTTTGCCTCCGCAGATGGATGGGGAAGGTCTGCCGCGCGACGGGTCCGAAGCCTGCCAGCTCACTGTAGAGTTCGGGTCCGGCAAAGCCCAAAAACCTGGTGAGCCGCATTGCGAGCTTGTAGCCAGCTTGCTGTCAGAGGCGCCGAGGAGAAGATGGAGAAGGACCAGCACAAGCGAGGAGGAAGGAAGGAGCAAGCGAATATAAATGTAGGAACCCTCACAGCTTGCTTCCAAAGCAAGGTCATAGAAGGTCACTACAGTACCCACAGAAGGTTGACAATCCTGTCCGAAAGCCACGAATTTACAACAGACACACACACACACCCAAAAAAATGCTAGATACAGTCAACGTGCTGTAAAAACGCAATATATGCATATATATACTTATGCAACAGAAATCAATATAGATCAATAGTCTATTATGTTTTCAATATGAAACATAGAGAAGAACGGCGTAAAAAGAGAAGGTTCTGCGAAAGACCTCTCCAATAGAGCGCACCCGATCTGTCCTCGGCCGGGGCAGGTCTGGGGACAAATGAACACAAAGGGTCACAAACAAGAAAACCAAGAACCAGGAAAGAAAGATCGCCCATGCATCTTGATGCAGCCATAGCGTCCGTGGCCAGTCTCGTCGCGCAGCTTATTCTTATCCTGACCCGGTGTCCAATACTTGTCGTACCAGGTCTTGAACTTCCTCAACAGGGATCTATACTAAATGGTCAGATGTGGGCGGAAATCCTATATCCACATGTGCCAAGCATGTGTAGTACCGAAGAGTTGCACACAAGATAACCCACTGAATTTGCGTGCTCGCTTTCAGCAGAACCCGAATCAAACCAAACATAGCACCGCAGCTAGAATAGAACATGCTTCCATTTGTTCTGCATGCAATAAGGATTTATTATATTTATATGAGAAAATGGAAAAATGATCAAGAAGGCTTCAAAGGCAGATTTGCCAGAACGAGATTCATCAATGAGAGCTTGATCACAGGGTGTTTGGGTGTAGTAGCGACAAAAGCTTGGAAAAAACCATCGCGTTGCGCCCTCACTGTCACAAACGTGGCTCGAGGGTCTAATACCCTTTGCAGTGCGGCTAATGGGGCAACATCTGTGTCAAAGTAATAGCCCCCTGTGTTGTACAGCATCACCAGGCGACAAAGGTCGGACTTGATCCGGCCCTCCACCTCTCTCTTAAAGCCAAAGGCCAGCGCATGACCCTCCTTCATCTGCAGCTCATCGAGTGCCGTGAGGCAATGGTCGTCGCCCCACATTTCAACTTCCGGTGCGTCACCAGTGATATCCTCAAACACCTTCACTGTGCGCTTCACGTTGGCCAGCAATATCTCCTCCTGGCGACTCAAATCACTGTTCCCAGCTTTGAACAAATCGATCTTGTAGTTGAAGAGCAACCTGAGCTAGCTTTCTCTGGACAAGCCGTTAGTCAACAAACTGTACCACACACCCACAACATTCTACACTCTACAACAAGGTGGGCAAACTCTTTCCGGATGCAATCCCCACACCAACATTCCAAAAATAAATATTGGAGTGTTAGAATGGCAAAGCACTTTCTTGGAATCTGCAGAGGCAAAACTTCCCTCTCCGTCGACACATTGGAGTGAAATTGCCTTGCCACATGTGTCATAAGATTCGATGTTTCCTCATGTTCGATCTTTGAGCTCTTGCGACTCTCCAAGGAATGACAGGAGGAACAAAGAATTAGCAAGCAGGAAATAGCCAGGTGTGAAATTCCTGGCATGTGAAGACGTCGAGCTTCAACCATATAATATCAAGCATGAAAAGATTCGGTCGAGTCCCGAGCTTGAGCCCAGGCTGCGACGTTCATCTTTGTACTGTCAGTCCTGAAGCTTCTTGGATCATCTTGGATTTCAGAAGCGCACGGGATTCCTTTTTCCCGAATGCGTAGCAAGGTTCCTGTCTCACTCTGGGGGTCTGGGGGATGAGGGTGCGTTCGCTCGACGTTGCGTCTACTTCCACAACCGTTCGCAACCGTGCGCAACCGTCCGCGCGATTGCTATATGGCCGTGCCTATGGTAAGTTTTCCAGAAGGGGTCATTTTTGGAGGTTTCAAACGTCGCGTTGCTTCGTTTCGCGTGGCAGGCGTGGCACTTCGTGAAATTCAGACGTGTTGTTTTGTAACCTTCTAGCAGTTTCTTGCCCATATTCCAGGGCCGAACATATTCCATGCCAAAGTAGCTAGGAAATTTCAGGGAATTGCGAAGACCCCTTTCAGGTGAAATTTGTATTTCATACAGTTTGCCAAGTACTCCTTTTCTTCTGGCACGTACGTTGTCGACTGCACATGTTCTTCCCCAAAGCAGATCCTTACTTCCAACAATTTCTGGAAATGTCATAATTAATAATGTTGAGCTTTCCAAAAATGGATTAATAATGTTCTTATGGGAATTTGTCATCTACACTTTTCAGGATCTCAAAACCCGATTCATAAGCTGTAAGCTTATGTTCTGGCACGCTTGGCTGGCCTTTCATCAGCAGCGCCATCCCCATCTTTCTTGACATCTTTGTGGCCCCGCAAAGAGCTCTGCACAACAGGATCTGGGAACACAAATCATCGACGATCCTGTTTTCTTCCGTGCAAAATAATTCCACCGATAGAGTACGATGCCACCCCTGGAGTGCGCTAATTTTCTGGAATGCGAAAATAAAACCGTATGCGTGGCCCCCTGCGACCCTCCCCATGGATCCAACACCAGTTTTTTTCCATCATATATATACCAGAAAATTATCACAATTCACCCTGCTGAGCTTTTTTTTTTGGCCAAATGGCCTGGAACGCGATAGTATGTGAAACTACAGACGTCTCACGCGAAAACTCCATCTTCCCCAATATTCGAGAAAACGTAATTCCAGGCGATTTTAGCAAAAAAAACGAAAAAAACGTTTCATTCACCGAAAACGAGGATTTTATGGAGTGCGCAGATCTTGCCGAGCGCGATGATTTGACAGTATCTACCTCCCCAGCTGTGGAGTGCGATGGCGTCGCTGGAGTGCGAAGAATTTGTGGAATGCGAAGAATTCCGAGTATGCGTGGCTGGTATAGAGACCACATAGGGAAATTTCGGGGCCAGAACCAAAATTCCAATCCCAAAGCCAGCCCAAACTTCCAGCGGCACACCAGTGGATTCTATTTTTCCGAATTCACCTTGGGTGAGGCCCCGGGGAAGAAACTGGCTAATTTTTACTCAGCCAACCTTTAAAAACGTTACCTTTGACAACCCTGTCCTTCTTCGGTAGACAAATGAGGAAACTCCCTTATCAAAGCAGCCTTCAATTCATCCAACGTCCACAGATGCTTTGGAACGACATAGGGGATAGAAAGCTGTGGAGGGGCATTCAGTGGATTCGCCATGGCCCAACGGTTCCCTCCAGATTGAGCTGAAATGCCTATCAAAGTAACATACCAAAACCCAGGTCTGGAGTACGATGAAAACATGGTATGCGAAGATTTTCTGAATATGGGAATGTTGCCTCTAGAAACGTGTCGAAAATCGTTTTGTGTGGCAGGCCCAATACTTTTGCGACGTTTTCAGAAGATGCGTTGCAGTTTTGCGTGGCAGACGCAGCACTTTGGACGTGTCGTGTTGCGCGTTTTTTTTTGCAAATCGCATTGGCAGGGCTGCGTCAAGTGCTGACAGGGTGCTGATTCCGTGGCAGGCGTGGCGTTTTGTAAGATGTAATGAAAATTGACGGAAGCCTCGCACGAAACCTCGATTTTGATATAGCAAATTTAGAAGTTAAGAAAACGATTTTGAAGCTACAAAGTGTCAAAATTAGCAGAAATCTCGCACGAAATGCTCGTTTTGATGCTCCCACATGTCTTGTCTCGAGTCTTTGGTTTTACCTGTGGCCTCGCCGTGTCTATGGGGGAAGCTGCAAAACCTCTCCTTTCCGAAGGTTTCCAAGCAGGTTGTAGTGTTGTTTTGCATGGCAGGGCACTTTGTAACATTCCAACCTGTTTGATAACGTATCGAAAGTGTCAAAATTGGAGGCAGTCTCGCACGAAATGCTCGTTTTGCTGCGCCCACGTGTCTCGTCTCGAGACTCTGGATTTCCTGTGGCGTCGCTGTGTCTATGGGGGAAGCTGCAAAACATTTCCTTTTCGAAGGTTTCCAAGCAGGTTGTCATGTCGTTTTGCGTGGCAAAGGCGTAGCACTTTGTGACATTCCAACCTGTTTTATACCGTGTCGAAAGTTCTCTTGTGTGGCTGGCGCAACAATGCACTCCACACTGTACACTCTACACTTTAGACTCCACACTCTGCACTCCACACTCTACACTCCACACTCTACACTCCACCACACTCTACACTTTACACACTTCACACTTTTTACTTTACACTCCGCACTCCACACTCCTCACTTTATACTCCACACTCCTCATTCCACACTCTACACTCCTCACTCCACACTTTACACTCCACGCTCCACACTTTACCCTCCACACTCCACACTCTACACTTTACAATCTACACTTCGCACTCTACACTCTACACTCTACACTCCACACTTGACACTTTACACTCCACGCTTTCCACCACTCTTCACTCCTCACTCCACACTTTACACTCCACACTCCACACTCTACACTTTACACTCTACACTTTACAGTCTACACTCCACACTCTGCACTCTACACACACCACACTTTACATTTTACACTCCACACTCCACTCACTCTACACACTTGCACTCCACACTCTGCACTTTACACTCCACACTCACTTTACACTCCACACTCCACTTTACTCCACACTCCACACTGTACACTTTCCAGTCCACACTCTACACTTTACACTCCGCACTCCACACTCCTCACTCCACACACTACACTCCACACTCCACCACACTCTACACTCTACAGACACCACACTCCTCATTCCACACTCCACACTCTACACTCCACACTTTACACTCCACACTCCTTACTTTACACTCCGCACTCCACACTCCACACTCTACATTTTCATACCATCAGCTACATGGCTGGGACCCTGGATATTACACTGTAGACCCTAAAAACGGGGTCTGAAGAAGAGTTACATAGCTATATCACGTAAAAACAATTTCGATGGTGTAGACCCTTGGACCTTACAGATGCTGAATGTCTGAAGACGTTTACCCATGTGTCAAAAATACAAAAAAATGTTCCAAACAACATGTTTTTTCTCGCTCATGTTTTTTTTAATATTTTTATTTTTTAAATATATATATTTTTTTTTATATATTTTATTTTTTTTAATTTTTATGTTGTTTTATTATTGTTTATTTATTTTTTATTTTTATTTTCTATTTTTCCTTATTCAATGAAATGTTTTATATTTTTTAATATTTTTAAAAACAATTTATTATTATTATTTTATTATTCCTTTTTTTTACTAATTTCCAACACTAGTACGCACGACACTCCTATTTTACAACGACAAGGCATCTATACACATAACCTCTAGTGGTGCAAAGGACTAGACCTAACATGGTTGGTCAAAAAACCCAGTCTTGCTCAGTATCCAGACCTTTGGGGGTCATTGGAAATCTATGGGTGCAAAAGTCTACAAATAAAATGCATTGGAAATCTAGTTGTGCAAAGGACTGGGCCTAACATGGTTGGTCAAAAAAAACCGTCTTGATCAGTGCCAGAAAGGCTGTCCAGACCTTTGTACGACCTGGGGAATCTAGCGTGGCAAAGGTCTAGAAACACAATGGCCAGCAAAACCAATCTGTGTTGATCAAGGCCAGAAACGCTGTCCAGACCTTTGGACAAACTTTGGAATCTAGCTTGGCAAAGGTCTAGGGCTACAATGGTCAGCAAAACCAACCTGTCTTGATCAGTGCCAGAAACGCTGTCCAGACCTCTGTAAGAACTGGGGAATCTAGCTTGGCAAAGGTCTAGAGCTACAATGGTCAGCAAAACCAACCTGTCCTGATGATTGCCAGAAAAGCTGTCCAGACCTTTGAAAAAACAAGATCTGCCTTACATCTTCAAAGTTGAAAATTATGGGGCATCCATATATCATGTCCAACATAGACACGCTCAAGGGTCTATAGTACCTTAAATGCAGAGGGCCTACAGTGCTCTAGGAAGTACTCTAGACCCTGGGCCCCTGAGACCTGGAGGTCTGGGTACTCTGGACCTTATGTAGTTGAGGGGATACATTTTCCACTTCACACTCCACACTCTACACTCCACACTCCACACTTCCCACTTTACACTTCACACTCCACACTCTACACTCCACACTTTACACTCTACACTTTCAACTCTACACTCTACACTTTACACTGTACACTCCTCACTCCACACTTTACACTCCTCACTCCACACTCCACACTCTACACCCCACACTCTACACTCCACACTCCCCACACACTCCGCATTCCACACACTCTACACACTCTACACACTCTACACACTCTACACACTCTACACTCCCGACTCCACACTCTACACTTCACACTCCTTACTTTACACTCCACACTCCACACTCTACACTTTTCACTCCACACTGCAGACTGGTAACAGGGGAAATATGTACAAGACTGCTCAAATAAACTATTGCAGAAAAGTGCTCTCCGTGACTCAAATCCATCTGTTTCGAAATCTGTACCATTAACATACGTGTGAGCATTCGGGTTCGTGGGCTGCATCTTGTTTTATTCATCCACATTGATATCGATCCTCTGTCCTAGAGGTAGCTTGCGATTTTGGTGGCACTTAGTTCCGGAATGTTCCGGATATGCAAGTTTGCCTCAACTGTAGCCGCTCACAGTTCTACAACATCTCCAAACAATGCTGTCCGTCCTAGATTGTTAATCTTTCTGGCTTAGGGCCGCATACTGAACACTTGCAAACACGAAAGTAGACTCTCAAATCTCGGGAAGGCACATATCTGGAAATCGATCTTTCCGCACCACCGGTTGTCCTTGAGAGTCATGCCACGAGCAGTGACCTCCAAAGCACAAGTTTCCATCGCACTTTGGCAGGCTTGGATCCAGGTCCTTCGCTGCAAGGTTGCAGGCATTTGAAACCACGTGGAAAGAAAACTGACCCCAAAATCCCAAAATCAAATGGATGATGATAATCCCCAATATATGACAGTGTAACGCTGTGGGGGCCCCAATTTTTCGGTGTTTTGTGATGTTTTTTGATCGTTTATGTTTGTCTAGAGTCACACCACTTTCTTCTTGATATTCTTCAATATCTTCTGCATTACTTGTTTTAATTAGTTGCGTTGCTATTTGTTTTGTATTCCTGTCAAGTTTTAAAAAAACAAGCAAGGGGCGGAGGTAGGGCCCATATCCTCGGTTCCACATAGTTTTCTTCTTTCATCAAAGCAGATTATAAGTAGACCCATGGCAAGCAGCAACAAATCAATATTTGCATCTTCATATGACTACCAGTAGTACCGCACAAGGCAGTGGCGGAAGTTTCAAAAACAGGAAACCTATAGGAAGGGTTGGTTGTTGTGACTCACGGATGGCAGTGCGAATCCACTGATGGACCGAAAGGTGTGGTTGCAACGGTTGCAGTGGTCACCTCACCCACAACTGCTGGATGTAGTGTGGTGTAGTGCAGTTGTATTAGTAGTTGCAGGTGTAGTTGTAGTGTAGCTGAGTTGTAGTTGTAAGTTGTAGTTGTAATGTAATGTAATTAGTGTAGTTGCAGTTGCAGTTGCAGTTGCAGTTGTGGCGTGGTGTAATTAGTGTAGTGTTTTGTTGTGTACTGTAGCTTGGTATAGTGTAGTGTAGTCTAGTTCATTGTAGTGTAAAGTAGTGTAGTTGTAGTGTAGCGTCGTGCAGCGCAATGTAGTGGTAGTTGCAGTTGTAGCGTAATGTAATGTAGTGTTGCGTAATGTAGTGTAGTTGTTGTTGGATTTGTATTTGTAGCTGTAATGTACTGCAGTTTAATTAGTGTATTGTAGTGTAGCTGTAATTGTAGTTGTAGCTGTGGTGGTGGTGGTGGTGGTGGTGGCGGTGGTAGTAGTAGTAGTAGTAGTTGTTGTAGTTGTTGTTGTTGTTGTGTAATTCGTGTCGTGCAGTGTAATTAGATGTAATTTGTGTAGTATAGTGTAATTGGTGTTGTGTAATGTAGCGTCATATATTTGTACTTGTAGTTGTAGTAGTAGTGTAGTGTAGTGGTACTTGTAGTTGTAGTTGCAGTTGTAGCTGTCTATCTATGCAAGCTTGAAAACGAAGCTATTCTGCGAGACTTCCTCGGTTTTTGAGCTTGACAACATCAAAAACGCAGCAATTCTGCGAGACTTCGTCACTTTTTGAACTTGACAACGTCAAAAACGAAACAATTTTGCGAGACTTCCTCATTTTTCGAAGTTGACAACATCAAAAACGGAAACGAAACAATTCTGCAAGACTTCCTTCAAGAATGGAAAGTTGGGTGCAGAGCTGACGGCCTCGCACCAATGCTTTTTGCGATTTTTCCACTCCACCTGTCAAAAGTATTGCGCCTGCCACGTACGAGGTGCTGCACCTGTCATGCAAAATAATCTTCCCAAAACTGAAGATCTGATGCTCCAAAATGCAACCCCTCTCAAGAAATCAGCGCCCGGACCTCCTAACAGCTCTGATGAGCATGTCTCTTGTACTACGCCTGCCACGGAAAATGCATGTTTGCAAATCCTCTTCAAATGTCCCACGATGTCCCTCGCCTGCCATCATTTTTGGAAATGCTACAAAACCCTCACGTTTTGCTCACTTTTGACAACGTCCACAATCCCTTGCGCCTGCCACGCAAAACGACATCTGAACATCCAAAAGTGGTCCGTACATGCTGTGCTTTGTACATTTTGACTTTGAAATGTGCTTCGCGCCACAACAGCGTGCACTTTTTCGACATCTCAACTTCCAAAAACGGTCTGATCGTGGTGTGTTTTGTACATTTTGACTTCGAAATGTGCTTCGCGCCACAACAGCGTGCACTTTTTCGACATCTCAACTTCCAAAAGTGTTCCAAAGGTGTGGTGTTTTTAGCTTTTTCACTTGCAAAATCTTGCAAATGCGTTTCGCACCACAACAGCGTGCACTTTTTCGACATCTCAACTTCTAAAAATGCTCCGAACGTGAAGTGTCTTTCCCCACATCTTTGTGTGGGGTTCTTGTTTTTGATTCTGTATCCCGGCTCCTCCTCCTTCTCCTCCTCCGCCCCGCCTCTTGCACATATCATCTTTCACACACAACTTTGTCACACACCATCTTTCACATACAACTTTGTCACACATCATCTTTCACATACATGGCAGGCGTGGCACTTGGCGACATGTGTCTTCATTTCACGTGGCAGGCGTGGCACTTGGCGACGTGTGCCTTCGTTTCACGTGGCAGGCGTGGCACTTGGCGACATGTGCCTCATTTCGTGGCACTTGGAGACATCCACCTTCGTTTTGCGTGGCAAGCGTGGCACTTATGGCACTGGGCTGGCTCTGGTGGCGCGCTTGGACTGGATTAGTCGCCGGTGACGCCGCGACACTTTGCGTGGCAGGCGTGGCACTTGGTGACATCCACCTTCGTTTCACGTGGCAGGCATGGCATTTGGTGACATCCACCTTCGTTTTGCGTGGCAAGCGTGGCACTTATGGCACTGGGCTAGCTCTGGTGGCGCGCTTGGACTGGATTAGTCGCCGGTGACGCCGCGGCACTTTGCGTGGCAGGCGTGGCATTTGGTGACATCCACCTTCGTCTCACGTGGCAGGCGTGGCACTTGGTGACATCCACCTAAATGCGTGGCAGGTGTGGCACTTATGGCACTGGGCTGGCTCTGGCTCTGGTGGCACGCTTGGACTGGATTAGTCGCCGGTGACGCCGCGGCACTTTGCATGGCAGGCGTGGCGCTTGGTGACATCCACCTTTGTTTTGCGTGGCAGGCGTTGCGCTTGGTCACATCCACCTTCGTTTCGCGTGGCAGGTGTGGCACTTAGGGCACTGGGCTGGCTCTGGTGGCGCGCTTGGACTGGATCAGTCGCCGGTGACGCCGCGGCACTTTGCGTGGCAGGCGTGGCACTTGGCACTGGGCTGGCTCTGGTGGCGCGCTTGGACATCAGTCGCCGGTGACGCCGCGGCACTTTGCGTGGCAGGCGTGGCACTTGGCGACATGTGCCTTCGTTTCACGTGGCAGGCGTGGCATTTGGTGACATCCACCTTCGTTTTGCGTGGCAGGCATGGCACTTATGGCACTGGGCTAGCTCTGGTGGCGCGCTTGGACTGGATTAGTCGCTGGTGACGCCGCGGCACTTTGCGTGGCAGGCGTGGCACTTGGTGACATCCACCTTCGTTTCACGTGGCAGGAGTGGCACTTGGTGACATCCACCTTCGTTTTGCGTGGCAGGCGTGGCACTTATCACACACCATATTTCACAGACCACTTTGCCACACACCATCTTTCACACACCATCTTTGGCACACCCTCTTTCAAGACTCTTTCACACACCATCTTTGTCGCAAACCATCTTTCACACTGCATCTTTCAGGCACCATCTTTCACACCCAACTTTGCCACACACCATCTTTGCCACACAGTCTTTCACACCACTTTGTCACCCACCATCTTTGACACACCATCTTCCACACACAACTTTGTCACACACCATCTTTTGCACACCATCTTTGTCACACACCACCTTTCGCACACAGTCTTTCACACACCATCTTTGTCTCACACCATCTTTGACCCTCAACTTTGTCACACACCATCTTTCACGCACCGCTTTGTCACACCATCTTTCACACAACACTTTGTCACACACCATCTTTCACACACAACTTTGTCACACACCATCTTTGACACACGGCTTTGTCACACACCATCTTTCACACACCATCTTTGACACACCCTGATTCACACACGCGCACCATCTTTGTCCAACACCATCTTTGACGCACGACTTCGTCACACACCATCTTTCACACAGCATCTTTGACACACCCTCTTTCACACACCATCTTTGTCACACACCATCTTTCACACACCATCTTTCAGGCACCATCTTTCACACCCAACTTTGTCACACACCATCTTTGACACACCATCTTTCACACACCACTTTGTCACCCACCATCTTTGACACACCATCTTTCACACACAACTTTGTCACACACCATCTTTGACCCTCAACTTTGTCACGCACCATCTTTCACACACCACTTTGTCACACACCATCTTTCACACACCACTTTGTCACACACCATCTTTGACACACCATCTTTGACCCTCAACTTGGTCACACACCATCTTTCACACACCGTCACAGACCATCTTTCACACACCATCTTTCACACACCGCCTTTTTTCATCATCTTTCACCAGACCATCCTTCACACACCACTTTGTCACACACCATCTTTCACCACACCATCTTTCACACACAACTTTGTCGCACACCATCTTTCACCACACCATCTTTCACACACACAACTTTGTCACACACCATCTTTCGCCACACCATCTTTCACACACCGCTTTGTCACACACTATGTTTTACACACAACTTTGTCACACGCTCTCTTTCACACACAACTTTCAAACACACCATCTTTCACACACAACTTTGTCACACACACCATCGTTCTTTGTCACACACCATCTTTCACATACAACTTGGTCACACACAACTTGGTTTTACTTCTCGGTCCTCCACCACCTCCTTTGTCTTTCCTTCCTTCCCCGTCCCCGCTACAAGATTTGGTGCTCATTATTGGAAGAAGTTGCCTTGTGGGGTTATCCGGTCCTTTAATTAGCTTATTTTCACTTGCAAACGTGCTTCGCACCACAGCCGCTTGCACTTGTTCGACATCGCAACTTTTAAAAGTGCTCCGAAGCTGAGGTGTTTTGTACATTTTCACTTGGAAATGTGCTTCGCGCCACAACGGCGTGCAATTTTTCATCTCTCATCTGGCCAGATGGCGCCGAACCCGCCGCTTTAGCGAGCCACAAATCATTGGAAAAACACAGTGTTTCGCGACTTTCCTACTTTTCGCGCACCTGGATCTTCTTTCCTCTGAGACTTTCTCTTTTTTGATCTTCTCTTCTTTTCCCTTCTCTTCTCTGACTCTTCCCATCTCTGCTTTTTCATCGGTCCGTATTGTCGGAAGTTTGACTTCTAAACTTCCTTCGATCAATTATAAACAAAAACATATGTATAGTATAAACAGTACGCCCTTGCGCTTCAATGAAATAAACATGTGAACCTGTATGTTAAAAAGGTGTCCGTTTTGACATCACCATAGCCATTTTTCATACAACTGCTATTTCTATTGAATCTACTGTTTAGGTTTGGTGGTTTCTACAAGCAAAATTGAAGTACAGCCTTGAATATCATATAATGACCCTTGTAGTTGGACAACATGGTCCCAAGACGTAGTGTCATGCTTTTTGATACTTAGCATGTCCTTGCTATGCATTGAAGAAAACATGTTATAAACTCAAATGTCACATGATGGAAAGGCCTCACCCAAGATGAGATGGGTTGTAGTTAGCATTGGTTTAAGGATAATAAGTCTGCAACATTGTTAAAACTTCAAACATCTTAAAACTATATTTTTCTGATGATGGTGATTTCGTTTAGTAAGCAGTGCATAGACCGTTCAGCCAGACTGTCTGGAGCGACGTCCGGCTAGATGGTCCGGCAAGAAGGTCAGTCCAACTGTCCGGTTAGAACGTCCGGTTAGAATGAACCGAATTGATTCTGGCCAGTCAATCTGGTCAGATAGTAAGTCTTCAGGTCTCTCGGAAGTAGCAGCCTTTCGGGGTCGGAGGGGGGGTCGATTCTTTTTTCGACCCCCCCCCTACAAACATTTGGAAAAATTAAGCAGTTTACAGAGAGAAACTATTACAATATTTGGTGCCAATTTAGTAGTAAACCTTACAGAAAAGTTAAAAATAAAATCAGACAAGTTGAAAAGGGAAGGGGACTTGACATAAGGAAAAAACATAATAAAGTCGATATCGTATATATGAATATAAATTAAATGAATAATATTAAATAACATTGTTCTATCGTATTGTGGTGTGGGATATTGCAAGACGTGCAAGACAATCCACACACATGTCTCATCTTACGTTTTGCTGTATTTCCAGAAACGTGGTAAAATGGTGCCCCCGTGGCGTGACTTTCTGCAATATATTGGGTGGTCCCTCTCTCTCTCTCTCTATCTCTCTCTCTCTCTCTCTGCATCGCCATGGGGTAGTACCAGTCAACCAAGATTGGGGCCACTGCTCAAATTTGCATAGCGCAGCATACAGCCATTTGGAGCGTTGAACGAACCCTGCTCTTCACAGTCCTGTCGCACACTGCAGTTGCAGCGCTGCCAGCCATCATCCATACTTATCCAGTTAAAGCCCAACCTTAGCTTTGAAGGGACGTTATCTTGTTATCCGTTTGTATATCTGTCTGTCTACCTGTCTGCATAATATGATCCATCCACCCACCCATCTATCTATCCATTCATCTTTCCATTCAGCTAGCTAGCTATCTATTTATCGGCCTGTCGGTGGGTGTTCTCTTCATTCGACAATTTTCTGCCATGACTGGAAACTGAGCCATGGACTCCGCTAAACTTGTCGGCTGTCCATTGACCAAACGAGATTTGTCCAGCACGGCATCCATCTGAGCCATCATGTGGGATTGTGTTAGGATAGTCCGTGTCCTTGGAAGCAAAGTATACATGGTAAAATAGCCGCTTTCGGACAATGAGTTCGTCTATGGCAAAGGCAGAAGAGTGCAGAAAGCATTAGGATTGCTGCGTGCTTTTTGACTCTTTTCGGACATACATACCTCATTATACCTCGGCATGCCCTGCAAGTGCATTAATATTTACTAGTCGTGGATGCTGCCAAGACGTGCCGAGACACTCCATACAATCAAAAGCATTCCAGGATCTCCAGCCCCGCGGTGGGGTAAGGCCGATGCCGTTGTCTATGCCCAGCACCTCAGTCAAGTCACGGATTGTGATCACAAGACCGTGAGAGTTGACAAGGAATGCCCCATGAGAGTTTCAAGAAACTTTACGTATATTTGCGTATCTTTAAGTCCAGACACTTTTTTCTCAGCCATGGTTTCATGCCGGTATTGGCATATGTGTGAAACTGTGGGCATGCGGAAGCGATCGGTTTTCAAAATTGGCGGCTGCGTGCACAGTTTAATAGTTCTTGGTTTTGTTGGGCGGTGTTTTCATACCTTCCTTTCCCTAAAGCATTTTCCCACGCGTATTTATTGGAGTATTGCGTCCATTGCTGCCTGGGGCCACCTACTCTTCTTTTACCTACGTCGAACGTTACTGCGGAATTAGGTTCATAACATTTCATAACTAACCCGCCTAAGCGGGTCATTGTCATTGCTATGTAAAATATGCCCCGCTAGTCTAATTCGTCTATCTATTAACAGGTCAGAGAACAGTTTAATTTTCAGCGGGGTCCCAGGTTGATGTCCAAGCTCTTCGTTGGCCTTTCTTACGACAAATTCATTGGTGTTTTGCCGGTTTACATAGGTAGTTGTTAGATGTTGTTAGTCCTAATATCTTCCTCAGCCCTCGGAGCTGAAAGGCATTGACTTTCCGTTGTAAACTTTGCGTCAAGTGTACCGTTTCTAGACCATATAGTAGTTTGTTTCGGATCACTGCGTCATAGACTTGCAGTTTCCATTTTGTTGTGCAGTCTACTGCTTTCCAGAACGTTTCAAGTTTGAACCAAGTTCTCAAAGTTTGCGACATTTTGTGATTGATTTCATGTTTAACGTCCATTTGTTGAGTGATTTGATGCCCTAAAGTCCCTAAATACGTGGTTTCTTCAACTCTTTCCATCTTTTGCCCGTCAGGGAACTTTATCACATTATTACCATTCATTGAAATATAATTGCATTTACCCCTGTTCAATTTTAAACCAAACTGTAGGGAAACCCTTTCGACCTCTGCTAGTTGCTTGTTTGCAGCTCTGGTACTTGTTGCAATGAGGATTGTGTCATCTGCATAGTATACCCGATGTATGGGCAGGGAACTGCTGGGGGTTCTGAAGTTACGTGGGTTCTGTAGACGGTATTTTACATCTTCATCTACTATTTACAGTATCTGAATGAATGTGAATGAACATGTATGGTATGAACACACACGTGACACGGACTGGGAGCATATGACGCATCGCGTTGACCCACTAAGCTGAGCGCAGGCGTAGCTAGCAAATGCCAAGCCAGCCACGGCGAGCTCAGAGCAAAGGTCATGTTGGGCAATGTGAAAATAGCTTGGTCCATACTGCCCATATTGGTGTTATATTAGGCGGAGGGGCTTGTCATCAATTTAGATTTCCTGCGGCACTCTATCTATCTATCTATCTATCTCTCTCTCTCTCTCCATAATTATAAAATTATATATGTATACAATTGTATAAGCATATCAAACATTCTTGCCGTCCCTGCACCAAGGGCCATCAATTTGCCTTTGCCTTGAACGTTCACAACTTGCAACGCTGAGACCTTACCATAACTTACCATCACCTTGGCCATCTCAATCTTCTACCAAGGGTGCAGCGACCGTGCAGCCCCAACATGCAACATCCAGCAACATCCAGCGACATCCAACTCTGTTGATTCAAACCCTCAGCTTGTGCCTGACCAGGTGGGAGCCTGGACCCTTCACATTGACGATCTCCCATGGCACTTGAAAGAAGTTGCCCTGCACAAATCCGGCGCCCGGGAATCACAAACTAATCCCATTTCATCTACGTCGTTCAAGTTTCCTGCCTGAGGTGCACTGGACGCTCTCTGCAACTTCTTACCTTGCGCAATCAAAACCACAAAAGCCACAGCCTTTCATGTCACTTCCATCCACTTGGTATTTACTTGTTTTCCCGACATGATGGCTAGCCGGACATGCTGAGTTGTTGGCGCAAGACCCAGCAACTCTGCTGCAAACGGTGCATGACCCATCTTGGTCACATTTTATCTTTTCCTCCGCTGTCTGTGCTTAGACTTTTGCCGCTGAGCGTGTCCACCCTTTTGGCCTTCCAGGGTTTCTGAGACTTGGGGGTGTCAACCCAAGTCGCCAGCCCCATGATCTGCAGCAACCTTTGGACAAGTAGTCTTTGATTGCGGTTCTGACCCAAGCATGTGAAACAGAAAAGTGCCCTGCGTCAAGCCGTGAGCCGTGCACGTCAGAAATCATCATCTCGAATTGTGATGTTTTGCGCAGAGCTCATCTGCGAAACGGAGATGGTTGACCTCGGGCGCTACTTTCAAACTCATCTGACCAGGGTTTCCATTGTCGGCATGGCAGACCCACATAGGATCCCCATGGATCCCCAATATGATGCCCATATGGGATGATCTGAAATAGGGTAATCTGGGTACTTACCCCCCCCCAAAAAAAAAAAACAAACATAAAACTTCATGGTATCCTCATGGTTTATCATCATCTTTCAAAATTAAAGTTGCATAAATCGATATACTAGTACATCGCCACTTTGGAGTATCTCCCGCGGTAGACAAAGCATGACAAAGCCACATCCCCATTCCCGTCCCAAAGCTTTCAGGACACCGGCCAAGTGACGCTTTGGCGAGGGCCGCTTCCTTCGCAGCTTGGGCAGCTGCCTCTTTGGTCTTCTGAACCTCCTCTTCAAGAGCCTTCATGCAGTGATTAAATGATATTAAATGATCGCTCCAATCAGGGGGCCACTCATCTCTTTAACAAAATGAGCTTGGATTAAATTGGTGAAATTGCTAGGATATGGTACAGTAGGCTGATTCAAGATGCATTCGGCTGCATGCAACTGTGATGTGCTTGAAAACTATGCGGCAAGCCTGAAGCCTAAACACAACGAGGCGGAATGGTCGCACTCAAGCGTTGCCATTTGCGGCCGTAACTTGTTTGTTTCACGCACTTCCTAACTGGAGGTCATGCTTCGTGGCACCGCCTTGGGGTCCATCTTGGCCATCTGCTCCTAAGGCCAAAGAGATGCCGTTTCATACTGCTTTTTCAAAACATGGAGGCCACCAACAACACGAACACATGCATTGCCAGATTGATCTGGTCGAGTTGATAAGCGCGGCTATGGGGCTAGGAAGCTTCCATCACTCCCAAACCTCAGAGGGCGAGCTTTCATGCAGGATGCCCTATGTGCTGCAACATTGAGCAGTGTTAGGCCCTAAAGGAATCAGCCGTACCACCCCAAAACATCCAAAATTCAAATCATCGCGCCGGCCGCATCCTGACCCGAAGAAAACAGAGAAGGTTCTTCTTGTTGCTGCTGGATCCCGTTCTCGCTCCAAACAATTCAGGGCAGTGCTTTATGATATTTGTAAATATTTTATTATATATCATAGTAGTCTCCAGCCAGCTGAGTGCGAAGCTGGTTGATGCCGTCTGCCTCCTTCGTCATCTGGATATGCTTTGCTTTGGCATCTTTTCTTTTCTGCCGCTTGGCACCTCTTGGATCCACATGATCCACGCCCCGAGACCAAGAACTTCGCAAGGCCATCAAGGCGCATACATGCGTGGAAAATGTGCATCTTGTGGTTGTCATGAGGCTTGCTTTGTGTTAGTGCACTGATGCACCTACCTCCATCTCACTTCATTCATTGATGATCTGAGATTTGCATAAACATTTATGATTTGCGTATTCAAACGGGTTGAACCCGAGTTGAGCCCTCACCGTGCTGACGTGACACGCTTCTTATCGGTGGCTGCATCATCGGCTTGAATCTGTGCTTCCCGCTTTGCTTGGAAGGTTGCAGCCTCCACTTCGCTTCCAGTCGTGCAAGTCGTCACTGCAAACCCCAACCGCTGCAAGGTGCACTATATCAATGGCTGCAAATTGACCAACCTCTTGCAGCGCTGCATGATCTTTGTCCATCCTGGGGAAGGAGCAAGAACAAGGCAGGTTGGAAATTGCAATACACCGGTTACCCGTCTATTGCGAAATCCAACCACGACCGGATGTCCATTGCTTTTTTTGAATGAGATCTTATGAGTGCCTCGTCAATGGTGTGATTGTGAATGCATGATGCATGATGCATTGCATGTGCCCAATATCATCGAACCAAATTTGCCCCAGAAGAACAGCACAACACACCCACTCAAGTACTCTTCGTATTCTCTTCGCCCTATTCGCCCGTCACTCAGAATCACCCTCAGCTGTTTGACAAGACACTTTTCCAGTCTAGCCTCAGCAAGCACTTGGCAACAACTCCTTCAGCTTTAAACACTTTAAACCATTGGAATCGTTTCATTTCTGCGAGCAGTCCTGCAAAACCTCCACTTAAATCAATGATATACCAAGTCCTATGTTTTTCCATCATTTCTATCATAAAATTATTTTATTATACAGATATAATTAATCAATAAAGTTGCTTTCCCAGTTTTTTTACTCAAGAAATCGTCGAGAAGCCAGTTCAATTCTCCGGTGCTTGTAGTAGATTGGAATGGAGCAGCTGCCAGAGCCAGCACTACTGCCATAGGTGTTCCAAACCTCCGAGAGCAATATGTCCATGTGACCTTTCTGAAACTCTGGAAGATGATTTTTGGCTTGAACATGATGACCTCTGAATGAAAAAAAAGGATGTGTGAGCAATGAGCAACGCAGGAAACACGTGGAAACATGTAACATATTGTGACATCATGCAACAAACTGTTCAGTTCTATCGTGAGCACTGGCGTGATGGCGAAAGCGGATGCCTTCTCAAACTCTGGCCGGTTGCTCGATACAACCTTCCTGGTGCCATCATGCATCGTCATGCTGTGAGACAGCATGACAATGAGGCAAATCCATTGGCAAATCCAACCTTCTCTCAGGACTGATCAGAGACCTGTCCAATGTATTCCACTGTCACGTAAATTGTGCCAAAGTTCACATCACTTGGATCTGTTTTGACCTCAGCTGCTGAAGTTGACTGAACAAGTTCTAACTGTTCAACTCAGTGTGTTCTTAGAGGGTTTCAGTATGTCTCAGTAGGATTGTCTCAGCCAATGTGAGCTCCGAATCCAAGCGATTTAAGCCCTGAACAGTGATCTTGTCAGCAGGGCCTGCCCCTCGGATTGCCACTGCCTGCACATTGGCCTTGGAGGGGGCGATGGCCTGCCAGTCGTCAAACAGTCAGAGCATGTCGCGGCTGAAAGCCAACAGGATCCAACAGGCGTCGGTGAAAGTTCGCTAAAGATCCTGCCTTTGCCATACATTCGTCGGCCCACCTTGCAATGAACATAGAGAATCAAATGGATTGTGGAGGCAAAAAGGCAACTTGTGAATACTTGTTGGAATGAGAATATGTTCAAAACATTTCAAAACTCCTTTCAACACGGTCTGGTACACTCGCGGCCGAGGGGCGCATTGCTAGCTGCCAATGAGCATTTATTGATCTCATCCTGGGTCATCCCAGATTCCAGCTGCAACATGGCTGCACCAGGAGACGCCTTAGTTGCGTTGCATATTCCCAATTTCACAATGATTAGCCTCTGGTAATCCAACACAGCAATGGAAGACAACAATGCTTGACAATGCTTGACAGGTAGATCACCTAGAAACAAGCCATTTTCCATACCTACGTTGGGTTGGGAGAGGGTGATCATTGTGAGACATAGAAGTAGCAAGCTGACTGCAACATCACGAGTCATCATGATACAATGTGCAGACCAAGTTCCGGTTGACACCAGCCCGCACCCCATGTAATGTAAATGTTGAGCCCATTGGCTGCGATAAAAAAATAACAAAAACTCTTCTTGAATGTGTGGTGGGTGCACCAAGCCCCTTGGCAACCTTGGTATCCATTTTTTGACAGGGATATGACAGCCATGACTGAGGATTGGACTGCTTCGTTTGGGCTTTGGAACGGCAGCCATCGGACTTTTCCGAAGAACCTCCAGGGCTACCAGGGGCTACCAGTGGTCACCAAATCACCAGCACCAGCGATGCCAAGCACAGTGATGTACCGTGTTGGGCCTCCGCTCTGGGAGGTTCAATCAGGCCGCCCGCCAAATTTCTCTGATGACTTAGCGAAAATCATATGGAAGCTGACATTCTTCCTGCACTTATCGTTGGGGATGAAGGACAATCAAATTGGCTGTGGCTCCCCAAATGCTTCAGTGCAACACTGCTTGATGCCGCCATCAATGCATGCAATCCATCCGATGCTGAAAAATGCTCTTGGCGATCGACTTCGCGATAAGAATGCTCCGATCTTGGTGCGCCCGAAAGCCGACCATGGTCGACAATTATCTGCTGGCAGATCTGGTAGTACGGGTACTGCTGGTACGGTTCTTAATGTTCTTATCTTGTGCACATATGTCACATATCACATATCGATATCTTGTTTCGCTGGACCATCCATTTGGGGACAGGTCCTGACATCACTAAGGCACTGACATTCAATCAAAGCACCCGTCAAGTCAAATCTCTCCTGTCAGTCTTGAGCTACGTTAACTACATCTAAAATCATCTAAATATCTAAATATACAGATTTCTAATGATTTCTACCTCCGGGGCCTTGTGGTCCGGCCCGCCCTCCACATATTTAGATATCGTTACTGTATCGCTTTTCACATGTAAATCTTTCAAGACGTCTGCCGGCGGTGTCATTGGCATGGTGCTGGCGAATGTTTAAGGAAAAGAAATGAAAAGATATGAAAAGGATGAATTCACCGATTATATAGTATGTCTTCAGATGTGTTTAATGGGTTTCCTGAAAATTGCCCCCTTGAACAATTCTGGGACAGTTGCGTTGCCAGCATGGCAGGCCAAGCTCCAGCTGTGCTCGGGCCAGGTGTTGATGATCAGAGATTGGTGCTGGCCTGGCGACAAAGCCATAAGAGATAAGAAAAGGAGAGGAAAAGAACACCTGAAAACCTGAAATGAGATAACATGAGCAAGTTTTATAGGAAATGCCCTGAGGTTTGCACATATTTCTTGCAAAGCCTCAGCAAATTCATGCTGACATATGCTGACTCATTGATCCATCAGCTTGTTCCCAAGCGCACTGCTCGTACTCTGAATCTTCAGCGGCTTCAGCGGCATTGCCTTGGTCACTCTTCACACAGCGCTTGGTCGGAATGTGTCGGACTATGTGTGATTACCATTGATTACACAGGATTTGTGACTAAGCCACTAAGCTTAGAACGCCTTGGGCGGCAATGGCGGCAGAAGCGCAACACTAAAGGCAAGAAATGTGTCAAAGGAGCATTGAATATCATTGAATAAGACATACAAATACGATAAGCCGACATGGGGCAAGGTCATCGACACACTTTGATGGCTTTATTCAACAGCACTCCTTACTCCTGGCGCTTTTCTGTACTGCGCTTAAACCTAAAAGGTTTTAAAGTTTTAACCATTGTCATCTCAAAGATTGAAAGCAATAGCGCATCCAGCGCACAGGTCACAAGAATGGCACCCAAGCACAGTTAACCGTTGCAGGTGCTCCATTTCCCTCACCGGCCGCAGGACCAATTGCCCTGGAGTCACTTGAAACCGACCCGCCGCGGCAGCACCTTGAAAAACTATAACAATCGTGCTGCAAAACTTTCAGGAAACCGAGGTCAGAAGCATATCTGCAATGCTCCTGTTGGAAGACCTGACAGGTAAAGTATGAATCACATTGAATCACATGCTGTTCATGTACGCCTGCTATAACCACGTCCATGCATGTCCATGCTATTATAATTATCAGCTCTATCTGATGAAGCTGTTGGCCCAAGAGTCTTCAAAACAGCTTCAAAACATTTCAAACCGCCAAACAAAATGCGACGGCTACCCGCAGTGCAACCAAGTGCATCCAGCTTTTTTCGCTGTCATGAAGACGTGAGAACACCTCCGACTCATTTGGGTTCTTCAAAAAAACAAGGTAATTATTTACCGTATTTACCACCAGTATGTATATATATATAATTATAACGGGGAAAACATGATCAACCAATAGTGAAAAGAGAGATGTGAAGTTAAAAATTGATGAAGCGGAAAATTATGTCTGTGAAACTGTGAAACATTTAAATGCATTATTAATGTAATGTAATTAATGTAATATAGATTCCGACCAGGAGGTTTCCTGGGGTTCTCCCATCATTTTTCACTACCAAACCCTGCCCAGTGAGGCCCCGGCAGGGTACTGCCAGATCCACGACGGTGCAGGCCCTGTGCACAAATCACCATGACGTAATGCTGGGAATGGCATCGCCAATCACCCCCCCCAGTTGATTTTGTCCCAAGAGTCTCATAGTTTGTTCTTGTAGTATGTAATTAGATGTAATTAGTAGGTCAGTAGGTTTCCCAAATTTGGCCGAAATTATCCCGGTGATTCCGATTGCATCATTGAATCTCATTAATCTCATTCCCACATATTTACACCTAAAATTCTTCAGAAATGTTCAGAATGACTCATTGTACGGCCTGTGTCATTCCTGTTTTTGAGGTTTGGATGGGTGCCACATGACGCACATAATGCACATAGTATGAACATTCTCTCACAGTCTCAGACAGTCCTGAGATGCGGGAAGGTTTAATTTCCTGAGGCAATGTGTTTCCGCATGATGGACTTTGGCAACGAGAGATGGGATTGCATCGTCTGCACCATCCATGTCTACTAATGCCTATCCTCTGGAATATGTGAAAAATATGTGCCAATACCATCCAATATCTGGGTGCTTGAGCCGATGCCAGAAATATATAATAGATTATAAATTATAATGGCATATAATAGCACAACTACCCATGGAGGTGATGCTGTTCTCATCGCAGAGTTCTCGCAAACTGAGTCGCCAACTTTGGCCCCTTTACGCTTCCCTTTTGACTGGAACTCATCTGCTCTTTGCGCAAAGCTTCTTGATGGAAAGATGGCAGCCTGGCAGATCTCATAGCTCATGGCAGTCATGACGAAATGCTCTACATTTCTCTACCCTCAGCAATGGCAGTGTTTACTGATTTTACTGTGTACTGCAAAGCACACTAATATTCCCCGACTGAAAGTCAAATGTGCACTCAAGCAACCTTTGCCTTTTTCTGCTCATTGAAGCATGCTCGTAACAGACTTGCGCACTAGATGCGCCACTTGATCGCGCTTGTATAAAGCAAGGCAAGACTTACGGAATGAACTGTGGCGGAGGTATTGAAACAGAACCAATAATTACAGGACTGAGAAGCATCAACACTCACAAAATCTCACAGAGACCTGCGCAATCGGAATAATGACGGAATGGTTGTGGAAAATGCGCAAGGGCACTCTCCCAGAGCAAATCAATATAGCGAGAATAAGAATTATCGGTATCAATCGATCCACGTTCCAATCGTTCCAATCGTTCCACCGTTCGCGGAACGTTTAAGACGTCGCTGAAATCAGGACATCTGAGGCAATTCGATGTGGGAAGTGGGTGCAACTGGAGGAGGGTCCCAACAAGCGCCCGGGATTCCAGAACTGCGTGTGTCGAAACACCTCAGTTGCTGCTGGCCTGGGCCCTGGGGCTGCCAAACTGCAGGGCACATCCGCTCCAGCCCATCATGGTCCATCATGGCCATCTCATCTATGCCTCCCCTTGACATCCCAAAAAATCATCCGAAATCCCCATTTGAATCATTTGAAAGATTTCGAAGGCACATAAAGATACATAAAGGCACTATTGGACCTTACCATACTTATCCATATTTATCCATATTTATCCGATGACATCCCCACCTTCCCAGCCACTGGCGGCCAGGCACTCGACACAGCAGCTTCCCAAGACAGGCGCCACAGCAGTGAGGATCAACACCAGCCGTGACCACCACCTCAAGGTTGGATCGCCTCGCCAGCCAGGGATGATGGCAACCGGCAGTGCCACGGCAGTGCCATGTACCAATGATGTACCAATGATGTGTCAATGATGTACCAATGATGTACCAATGATATCTAATGATACCAGTATCTAATGATATCTAATGAGAATGACCAGAAGATGACCTTTCTGAGTGTTCCAAGTGGCAAATCAAATCGTGAGTGTGGTAGTACAGGTACCATCCCAGCAGAAAGAGCACCACAGTGGGAATGCAAAGGCAGCTGTTTACCTCATGGCAGTGGAAATCAAAGAAAGCGTGCTGGTAGGAAATTGATGCCTTTGGCTGTCCTGCAGCTCTGAACTCCTGGAATTCTCACTAGTCAGCAGCTTCCACCCTCTGTTCACAGAAGGCACGATAAGATAAACTTGCAAACAGGTCTCGCACGCCCAACATACATACAGAGAAGAATCTGAAAGGAGAAAATCCGAGAACGTTCTTCCCAAATCTACACGATCCTCAAGATCGAAGGGAATATCCTTGAATCCTGATCACACGAATAGCTCTGCTCAAGTCAAGATATCCCCAGGTGATATCTACTAGTAGCAACACTAGAGAACATCCATATAATATATAATATAGGGTACCTTAGGGGGCCCCCCCCCTGACCATACCCAGGAATAATTAGAAATTATTCCAGATACCTTGGAGGTTGTTCTGGGAAATTGTTCCAGTACGTGGCTGACAGTGCAGAAAACAAGAACCTGCAGCCAACATGATAGCAATCCAGCGCCATTGAACTCTACTGCACTCTGCAAAGTCATGAGTGAAACAAGTGCCCTTGCCTTTCAACATGTTCATATTTTTCATAGGCTCAATTGGTGTAAATGATTCATAAGAATTCATTTGAAGCAAATCATTCCCTCCCACACCCTCTATATACTTAATTGTGAATGAAGATGTTCAAATAGGTTTAAAGTTTAAACCTTGCTTGGTCCAGTTGCATGTTGGGCACAAGAAGACAGTTGCTCCTTTGCGCAAAGGAATGATGAAAGATTCATCCGGAGAGTGGCCAGCAAGCCATGAAGTTGTGAAGTCACCATTATCATCAACAGCAATCTATCGTATGTTGAAGCTCGAGAAATGTCACCGAACAATGCTTGTGAAAGCACCCCACCAATGCAGAGTCCTCCTTGCGAATATCAACTGGATATTGAGATTTTTCATCTCTGGCCCTCTGCTTCAGTCCTGCACAGCGTTGATTTACAAACATGGTACCACAGCATACCACAGCTGCATTCTGAGACTTTGGCGGGCATAGGTAACGACCTCTTTGTCCATGCCAGAGCAGCAAAAGTAGAGACCTGTCCAGGAAACATATTGTTGCGCACAACTGCCGTCTGCAATTGAAACAATCCTCCATGTGCTGCGCCAAAGTGACGCCAAAGGTAACTGAATGTGCTGGGAACTACTTCAATTCAAATGACAGTCTGTATTGTCACGGTACCATCTAGCAATAATTAGCGGTCACCCCAGTTCAAGCAAACCTGGAACAAGCGACAGGATGAGGCCGTAGAAAAGGAGCCATGTTGCTAAGGGCTTTTGACACTCCGCATCCCACCTGGGAGCCCAAAGCGCGTGAACACTTGCAATCACTAGCTGTCCCTCGCTGTGACCATCTGAACTGGACAGCCGGCAAGTTAAACCAAGAATTACCGTAACGAGAGGAAACACCCACAGCTATCCATAGCTATCCATAGCTATCCATAGCTATCCATAGCTATCCATAGCTGCAATAGCTATCCATAGCTGCAATAGCTACCAGAATTGCAAGAACTTTGCTGCCCAAGTGACCGGAGAATGGCCGTACACATGGCAATGGCAGCCGGGAAGCTCAAAAATCCAGAAACCAAACCTGCGCCTCCAACGACACTTGCCTGGGAATTTCCGGGGAGATTTTGCCTACTGCAACATACTGCAACATACTGCAACATTGGTTTTCAACTTTCGGTATAATGCGGTTGGGTGGCCACATAGTTGAAGAGTGCGAAAGGAAGCACACACTGAGCGAGCAATATGCAGCCAACTTGAATCCTCAGCATCTCGTAAGCCGTTTGTGTTGCCACTCGGCGCTGCAAGAGATTCAGCCCTGCATGATAATATTCCAAAGCTCATTCAATCTTAAACTTCCAGGCAAGCTTCTTCAGGGCTTGACAAGAAGTGATTTCTACGACTTCAATGGCGGTTCCAGTGGTTGTTGTGGTCGTCGTGGTAGTCGTTGTGGTTGTGGTGCTGGACAATGCTTCCCAATCAATGACATCGGGGTTGTTGTAGGTAAACTCGGAGCAGGTGGCGCACAAGATGCACCAAGTTGTTGGAAAGCAAGTTGACGCCACTTATGCATCATCGTTGGACAATGGTCTGCTTGGAAGTTCGCAAGAGCATGGAACGATATGGAACAACAACAACAACAACAACAACAACAGCAACAACAACAGCAACAACAACCACAACAACAGCAACAACACCAACAACCACAACAACACCAACAACACCAAGAACAACAACAACCAGAACAACAGCAACAACACCAACAACACCAACAACCACAACAACAACTTGTAACAACAACAGCAGCAACAACAACAACAACCACAACCACAACAACAACAATAACAACAAGAATAACAATAACCAGAACAACAGCAACAACAACAACAACAGCAGCCACAACAACAACAACAACCACAACCACAACCACAACGACAACGACAACGACAACGACAACAACGACAACGACAACGACAACGACAACGACAACAACAACAACAACAACAACAACAACAACAACAACAACAACAACGGCAACATGGAGTATTGAATAATGATGAATAATGAATAATATGGATATGACATGATATGACTGCAGCGAAGAGGCAATTCCCCAAATCAATAGGACCAATGTTGGAAGAAATAGGCATTTATTGAGGCCCTGCAAGGTGTCACCAATCTCATCGAGTAGTGCTCAAACCATGAAATGGTCAAGAATGCAGCCAAGGCTGCACTTGAGTTCTGGCATGAACTTAGGATCACAAAGAGAACAAGACAAATGGAGTCCTGCGAGTGGCCGCAGCAAACCAATGCATAGAGACCAGGTATGCTAAAAATGAGTGCCTGAGCCAGTCGAGTGCTATTCAAAAAAAAAACGCGGCGAAGCACTTGACAGCTTGACAATTCCATACAATTTATCACAATTCTGCATGATATGGCTTCAAAAGAATGGCAGGAACCTTGCAAACCCCTGTGTCCTCACCCCATCACAAGCTTTGGCTAATCTTACTGCAAGGCGCTATTATGCCATCAGCCCGAAGCCATGAGCGGAGTGATTCCAACTCAAGGCATTCTTCATCCCAGCCATTCGAGGCTAATCTCACCTAGGCTCGTCTGCAAATGCATCCTATGCATATTTTCCTCACCCAAAGAGCTCATGATCAAGTTTACGTGCCATAGCCTTCAAGGGCAGCATGCTAACACTCAAATTTGGAGATTTATGTTATGTCCTAGCCCAAAACAGTGCTTGCAGCATGCACATGCTGTAGCTCTATGACCGAGTGAATTTTGGTCAGCCTCCTCGTTGTCAATTTTTCGCTTACTCTGTTCCTCGTCCCTTCTTTGGTGCTAAAATGCTATCATGCTTACTCAGTAGGACACGTGCGCTCGCACGCAAAAAGATCATAATATCTTATAACGTTATATTGTAGATTTACTGATTATTATTGCAATTGTATGTCCACGACATTCCTTGTGCTCAAAAAAACATGCTGTAATTATGGTGGCCGGTTGCCATAGGACAGCCAGTAATCTGAGGTGTGCACAGCAAAAATACCGGCGACAGCTTGACCGACATGCAAAAGACCACCCCCTGCAGTCGGACTTTTTCTGGTTCTTCTGGTGACGGCTGAAGCTGTCAAATCACTTGTTTCTCCTTCAGTTGTCTTTATGTTTCCTTATGTTTCCTTCCATGCTTGGTTTTGTTCAGCTGTGTGGAACGATAAAGCGATCATACCCGATCCTAAGCGAGCCGTAAGCTCTTGCCGCAAGGTTTTTAGAAGCGAGACTGCAAGCGATGAGGCCAAGGCCGATGACATAGTCGCAACAGGCTGCGCCACAGCTGGGAGCAGAATCTGGTCTTCGCAGCCCAACTCCTCCGGCTTCCTGCCCACTGGATCCCACTGGTATATACACACTGGTACCGCGCATGACTGATGGGTTTGCAGCTGGCAGCAGCAACAAACGTTCCGCAGAATCATGGAGAATCTATTGAAAATAGCGCCTCCGCCATGCCAGGCTTGTCACAGCCTGCCAAAAGTCCTCATGTTTGCATCAAATGTCTTAAGTGGAATTTTCAACGGTGATCTGTGTCACATAGTGTGTTGATATCTCTGATATTCTCTGATGGTATTTACCTCACAAGCTGTCAGTCCTGGAGACCGGCTACGACATCAACATCTGAAAGCCTAACCTCTACGATGGTCTTGAGCCACTGGGGCACACAAAGTCCGCTGGTGTAAGCATCGAATAATCATGCCGACTATGCCTTACAAGTAGCATTCCAAACAATCTTTCTCAGAGGGTGGAGCAATCATCAGCAACCAAACCCTTCATGTTCAGTTCTTGCCTGTTGAGGCCCGTAGCCGGCGGCATCATGCGAGAAATCAATGAAGGTGTTCGTTGCAAGCCACCTGCATGTCAGGAGACTGGGAAAAAGATGTAAAAAGGTGAAACACATGAGCAATCTTGGAAACTCAAGGTTCACGAAAATGAACAAATTTGGGGAGCTCCCGTTGCTTACATTTGCTTACCACATTGGAGGAAAGCGTTCATGATCTACTTGACTCCAGAGCGCAAACTTGGGAGGGTAATTATCGCTATTTGGACAGGTCCCATCATGCCATCGCTTACTGTCATGTCTGTACAAGTTCTGAAAACCATTGAAAACCTATGTCCGTCATTGTCCGTCCCTTACATGTTTCCTATTGGAGTTTTCGGGATTCGGGCTCACAGCTCTGAACACTTTGAAAAGGTTCCCCGACTCTTCTCATCTTCAGATGCACGCAAGTCAGCCAACAGCTCCTATGACGATTATGACTGCTGGACGGGGATAGCAACAGGAACCTGTAATTAACCTGTGTGGCTCTACTTAATGATGACATATGACTGTGCCCGTCCTTGCAGATTTCATCCATCACCTTCGGCTCTCAAATCATTGTGGCATGGAATCGGCATCGATGTGGTCATGATATTATGGGCCGACAGTATATGGTACTAGTAGCAAAGGGGACTACACAATTATTGATGACCATCCCAAAAATCAAACCCAATACAATTCTGAGGCGAGATTTTTAGTTGTTGCAGACCAAGGTGCAAATTCAATTGCACAAGCATTCTGGATCTCTGGAATATGCCACCACGTTTCCTTAGAGCATTGGAACCAGCTCATCACATCTCCGAAAAGCTCTCATTGCAATATGTAACCACATTCAGCAAAACGTCACAATATTTGAGATCCGATGGCAGGTTCACCTGTCAACCCTTCATAGCGTCTTTTGATCCTTGTGATCCATATTATATGACTGCAGTCTGAAGTCCCACTCTGATGCAATAGTATACCTCCTGAGGGTGTCCTCTGTGGGATTTTCCAGCAGACTGGGCATCTCCAGTAGTCCGCGACCTGCGACCGGCCCTCTGCCGCAGTTTCCAGCAAGGCAACAGAAAACCAAGAGTTCACTGGGGTCAAGGCCATTGTAGATGGTGACGTCCCCCTATCCGGTGGACAACAAAAAAGAAACATAGCTCACAGAGAAAAAACACATGTATAATGTAGAACTTGTAGCTATCTATAACATTCTATAACTACTGTAATATAGGCAACACGTGACAATACCACACACACAGAAGGTGCACAGCTGACCAAATGAAGTTCACTGGAATGCTGAGGAAAGCACCTCATACTCCTGCGGGCAAAAGTCCACCAGGTGACGAATATGGTGACATCAGGCTTCCAACAGTTTGTATTATATTATTTTGCAACATCTTACAAGTTGTAAAATGTGGCTATGAGCCCCAGCCTGTACCATCAAGCCAATGAGCGTGTTTCCCACTGGTCTCAGCCAAGGATGACGAGCGCTGGCGCCCTTCCAGAATTCCTCAGCGAACGGATGGCACCTTGCGGGAAACATGTCTTCCAGCCACTTTGAATGGAAACATAACGAAACATGCATGGAAAATCTGTGAAACGCTTAAGTGCAGCGGGAATGACCGAAACTATAGAAACTGCAACTGCTTCTCCTGCTGCAACAGCAAAACCACGACTACTGATGTTGCTGCTTTCTGCTGCACATGCTCTTGCCATCTCCAACTAACTATCCCTCCTACCACTAGCTCACTACACCACCACTCCTTTTGCTGCTTCTGTGAGCTGACATATTCTCACCGAAAGTGGAAAAGGGAATTTGAAGAGAGCGGACTGCCGGGTTTCGGCTATGAATCTTGCAGCCATGAATCCTACAGTAAACAAGACATGCGCTATGTTGCCATCCGACATCGGATCTTTAGAGAATTAAGGGCCCCACCATCATGCTCAGCAGGTACTGCTTGATCTACAAATTCAAATCCCAAATGATCCAAACATCCAACGGGCTGCACGGCGGTGCACGGTGAATGAAAACACGATGCGCCTCTCGGCGCAGAAACTGCGACATGCGGTAGATGGGCCCCCTTTGTGATCCGACCTCAGAAACGCTGCCAAGCTACAGGTGATCAACGACGATCTATGAATCATCGGTTTGTTTGGTGATTGTTTATGATGGTTTATGGTACCCGAAGATTATGGGAAAGCCCACACTCCCATGTTTTAGAACGTCGTGAAAATATGTTTAATTAGTAATATTGTACACAATATTCAAAATTCATACATTACATGCATGCATAATCATGTATATTATTGCATACTTGCATATATTTGCACACTGCTTGTGTGGTCCAAGACACACAACGCTTAAGGTCTTGACACCGCCCCCTGTGAGGAGCATGGCCTGAGGGTTGACTTGCGAAACGATGAAGTAGTTCACCTTGCAAAACGCTTCAGTTGAGTCGAATTGACCAATGGAGCTCCAACAACTTCAACAAACATCCTAAAAATTGCGGTACAGTACATCCTAAAAATATCAAAAAAACTGTAGGTTTGGATCAAGAAAACCTAAGATCTTCTGCCAAGGAGCATTGAAGAGCTCCGACAGCCGAGCCATTGGCAAATCCTTATGAAAAGGCAAGCGCATTCAAGAGGAAACATTGGCACATATAAATTGCATATTATATCATATTATATGTAATTGTATACAAGTCAATATGGCCAAGATTCTCACAAGAGCATGTATCATGTGATATCATGTGGCATAGGGCAAAGCCATTGAGTTCCCGGCAGACTGCATCGAACCATCTTGCCACTTCAAGCCACCTATCAATTTTATGTATACTTTCGCATGGCAAGATATTTCTGTCATGCAATGACAATCTGTGGCGAAACTATGCGAAACTGTGGTAAACCCAAGAACAAACCTCAAAGTGTTGGAGATGCTGATATCAGTTGATCCTACCGGTCCTACCGTTCCCAGCTATGACGACACCGATGTGGTAAACCCAGGTCTCCCGTGGGCGGCCTGAAACGTAGGGACCGATGTTTCCGTGTCGATCTTTCACCAGCAGCTCCCTGGACCTTGGTCCACAAATGTACTATCCCAATTCTAGCCTCCTAGACGATGTTGACCTAATACTGTTACATCAATAAGTAAATAAATACATGAATATATAAATATATAACGGAACATATATATATAATATATTCCTTGTTTTGAGTTGGTAAAAACTGAAATATTTCAAAGGTGAACTTGCCCTCCCTCCAGAAATATTTCTCAGCTAATTGTGGCATCTGGACCCTCGCCACCCCGTTTGGCAGCCTAAAAAACAGGTGGGGGGGTACTGTAATAGTTCACGCCAGGTGAAATATTTCTCAGAAATTTCTTGCCTAACCCCCCCTAGATTCCAGGATTAAAAAGGGTGGATATATGTATACTAACATATGTGTATATATATATGTATATATATATGTATATATTTATATGTATATATGTATATGCATATATATATATATATTTATATGTATATATGTATATGCATACATATATATATATATATGTATATAAATACATATATATATATGCATGATTGTGCATGTGTGTATATAATAATCATGCTGTATTTATTTACTCTATTATATAATAGTATGTCAGAACAATCTATCACACAGATTTCCCATAAGCCTGGCACGTAAAAATGCCGGGAACGGCTGCAGAGCATTGCGCTGCAGACCAAACCTTTGGGGACTCCAAGGACATGAAAAATGAGTTTGGAGGACCCACCAGCCAAGTACGTGGCTCTATGCTGGTTCTCTGCTATAGCTGGCTGAATGACGAGAACCAGCCATAGACTCTGGAAGATTATGCAGTATCATGCAGTATCGAAAGGACCGAGTGCATTGCCAGAACATGTGGACTGGTCAAATAGTTGAGGAGCATTGGGTACCTGCATCATGACACTGTCCAGTCTCTGGACCTTAAAAAACACGAAAATCCAATGAAATTTACAAGGGAAGAGCATGTCAAAGAGGCAACCTGCCTGGTGTTCCCGGGCAGCCCACTCACTGTGATGTTGATGATGCGACCAGTCCTGCACAACATGATACAACATGCTTACGGAGATCAACGCGGATGCGTCCATTTCTCGGTCAGTCTTACGTTGCTCGTGCGATAGTCAGAATGTATTTTAATTACCCGGATCTCATTATGGTCATTCGTGCAGCTGGTTGCAATTTTGTGCGGTTGTCCTGTCAAAGGCCTCGAGGAAGGTATAGTCTCCGATGTTGTCCCTGCTGTGGCCATGTGTTGAGCCATGGCAAATCCCCATGGAAACCCACATTCCGTTGCAGTCTTCAGCCAATGAACCCCAAAGAGTCCACCTCGTCGTTTAGTTGTCCTATGTTAGCGTTGGGGCTTAATCAGTTAACAGGTTTCGGCTGTGAACTCAGTGCAAAAAATCTTGATGCTGCGCTCTCTTTCTGGCTCCTCTAGCTAGGTCATGTTGATAATGAAAAGAAATAGTTTCATGTACACCCGCATGTATTGTGAAAATAAAAGAACATATGGTGAAAATATATGAAAATATAAAAAACTATATGATCTGATCAAACGACATAATGTATAATTATCATAGATATACAATGAAAACCCCCAATTTTGCCGCATGCTTGCAATATTCAAGCAAACGCCAAAAATTGCAGCGCTTCCTGGTTTTACAATATTGATTACATATATATATATAAATATATATATGTACTTATCATATATATATATAAGTACATATACACATATTTACATATACATATATATATATGTACAAGTACATATATATATATATATATGCATGCATGAATATATGTATATATATATATATGCATGTATGAAAACTATATATATACTGTATATATATACTATGTAAATATACTATATATATACTATATATATATACTATATATATACTATATATATACTATATATATACTATATATATATACTATATATATATATACTATATATATATACTATATATATATACTATATATATACTATATATATATATACTATATATATACTATATATATATACTATATATATACTATATATATATACTATATATATATATACTATATATATACTATATATATATATACTATATATATACTATATATATATACTATATATATATATGTATATAAACTATATATTATATATTATATACTGATATTGTATATTTAGCAAGGATGAATTTTCGGGGGAGGTCTTGGAGCCCAGTTTTATAGGTATAATTTGTTTGGGGCCAACTTGGTTTCTTACAAAAATATAGGCCCCAACAATTTTTTTTTTAAAAAAACATGGTTACAAACAGGGTGCCTCTGGAACCTACGAGCCACAGGATTTATACAAAGATGGCACCGACTGCTTGTCTGTCTTTTGACGTCCCCATATGTCCCCATGATCTACCCCAAACAAACATTTTGTAGGGTCAGAATGGTCGTCATGATTTGCCAACCCCGTCCAGCGCTCAACTATTTCCCCAGCTCTTGCCTATATTGGTTGATGCCTTCCCATGCTTAGCATCACAATCCCTTTGTAACCAGTTTTTTGTAAAGAAAGGTTCCAATCTGTTTCGTGACCCTGGTATTTTCTGTTCAAAAGCGTAGGGTCCAAAAACCGCAGAAATATGAGGTCCAAGAACCCAGAGTTATGAATCCATATGAATCCATACGTGCTTCTGGGTCAATATTGGTTTCGGTATCTATGGGGTCGTGTTCCCTAAAGAACTTAAGATGCCAATTTTTCCGCCCCGGGCCCCTTCCCTGAGCCCAAAACCACGTAAAAACCGTTGTTTTTTAACATCGCCAAGATGAAATCCTTTGCCGCTGAAGGGCCCGAAACACTGTAAAAAACAATGCTTTTTTTTTTTGCCGTAAATTTCAGGTCCTTCAGTCCCTCTTGAGTAGTCCCGGGGTGCGTCGGGGGTGGGTCGGCGGAGGGCTATGTTGAACTGAGGCAGGCAGAATGCGCAGCGCTTGCCTGTATGGAAGCAGTCTGGGCCTATGTTGAGCGCACGTGGTGCCCATGTTGGGCCAAGTCGATCGTTTCAGCATAGATGGCCGAAACATGGCCCCAACATAGGTCCCAAGATGGCTCAACGTGGGCCAGCATAGGCCCAACATAGGCCCACATGGGCCCAACATAGGCCCAACATGGGCCCAAGATGGGCCCAACTTGGCCCAACATACGCCCAAGATGGGCCCAACATGGCTCAACACATGGGCCCGACTTGGCCCAACATAAGCCCAAGATGCGCCCAACATAAGCCCAAGATGGCTCAACATTGGCCCAACCTGGGCACAATCTGCGCTCAACATAGGCCCAGACTGCTTCCATACAGGCAAGCGCTGCGCATTCTGCCTGCCTCAGTTCAGCATATATAGCCCTCCCTGGGTTTGCGTGGAGAATCTCGGCCCAATCTTCCCACACTATAAGCCAAACGTCATTGCTTGGCCGGCGCCCGGCTGTCAGGCGTAAGCCTTTAAATTATATGTAATAATACCTGATAATATTATTAAGTGTGTGTATCTATATATATATATTTATTTATTTATTTAGTTATGTCATATCCGCATGAGTTTGGGACGTCGTGTGACTTCGCCTCAGGACTTTCCCCAAATGCTCTGAGGAATACAGCTCTTCACCCGTGCGGGAGAAGCGCTGCAGGTCCTGTCACCGTACCGCTGAACAAAAGCTGCCTGTGAAGCCCTGTGAAGCTTCAAATCCCGTCCTTTCCACCGAAGAATTCGAGGGAAAAGTTGTCTGACCACGAGAAGTCTTCCTATTGCAAAGCACAATGCTTCTCATCTGCCAAAGCTGACTGATTGGGACCAAAAGGCAAAGCACACAACCTCAAAACACATGGCCGTCCTGCCACATCTCCGTCAACTCCTGCCAATGGCTGAAAGAGTCAGTTGCAGTCTGTGGAAGCACGGAGTTGTCCATGGAATCTCCTCATCGGTCCTCACCCCTAGCATCCCGCACCTTGAGATAGAAGCATAAAGCAACTTTCCCAATAAGTTTCTCAGCAGCTTTGACAAAGGTGTTGGATCATGTTTGGGTGATTTTTGACAGGAACTAAGCTTAGAACACGATGGAGCCCGCTGATGTACCACTCATCACCCGCGGCAACAAGCCATTCAAATGCAAGGCCTTATCAGCAGTGCGCGTGAAACCACGCCCAACGTTGTTGTGATTTGCAGTTTCTGGCCTTGACGACACCAAAGTGGTACATGCCGACCTTGGCCAAAACATGCCAAAACCATGGCCCTCAGCCAGTGGCGCTGAACAAACAAACAGAAGTTCAAATCTGGTCAAGCAACTCAGTGAGGCATATTCAGACATGCAAAGTTCCATGTTAATCTGTTGTGCATGGTGCCACACGGTGCCATGAATCCCATGTAGATAAGTATTGGGTATGGGGGTATGCCATGGCGTACCAATCAAACACATTCAAAGACCCTAGCATGACCTGAACATGCGCACGTGTTTCAAAATGTTTAAATTCTCATGATTCTAAGGTGTCGCTGACAACCGTGGAGAGGTATCTTTCTCGAAATGGAGGTTTCCTAAAATGGAGGGATCCCTAAATCATCAATTTTCATAAGATTTTCTCTATAAACCCCATTCTTGGGTATCCCCATTTATGAAAACCTCCAAATGTTCCCGACTGGGCTTGGTGCAGATGCACCCCCAGACAGCAGCAAAGCACTGCGACCAAAGCCGTGCTTGGTCCTCAGATCTACGGCCGCGGCTCGTGTGGGAAGCACATCTGGGATGGTTTGTGATACCTCTAAAATGGCACTTACGGCACATAAGAAGTAAGAAATATTAAAATTTAATAATAATTATTATTGCTATTATTAATATTATTATCATTATTATTATGTTTCTTATGAAATTTAACGAGCTCCTGGGATTTTGTGAACGATTAATTGGACCAATTCCATTTATGGAAGGCTGATCCAATGCAAACCCGTGCAAACCATGACGCTTAAGTTTTTTGGTGCCACCCTTGTGCGCGTACACTGCACCAAATATTGCATCTTGACCTTGATATTCCCTAAAAATCACAAAATCCCAGGAGCTCGTTAAATTTAATAAGAAATATAACATAATTAAATATATATATATATGGTACTTCCAACAGCCACGCTAGAGGTGGCCGTTACCTAAAAGCCATCTCAAGAAATGGAAGGTTCCTGCGGATGTTGTGCAAAAATGGAATAACCCTGATCATATATTCAAAGTTCGAAGTTAAAATGGAGCCCCCTTCCTTTGAATGCTCAAACTGGCAATCTTATGATTGAGACACCCATCAAAAACTTGAATCAACCCAATACAGTATATAAATGTACACACAATATCATACAACATCACGCTGCATAATCTTCACCTCGTACGTCCAACAGCCATCCTATTCGGGGCCGTTAGCTAAGAGCCATCTCAAGACATCGATTGTTTGAATGTCAACCCGAACAAAGAGGTCAGCGTCCGTGGCTTTGATTTCATACTTCCATTTTAAAGCAGTATATTTTTCATTGGCCAGAAAAGGCGCCTTTAATATCCATTTATATCCTATTATTGCATACTCCCAACATCCAAAGCTTGCCATGTTATGATACCAAATTGGAAACAAGTGTGTGTGTGTGTGTGCACCCTCTTGAAATGTCCCCTCAGAGACTCTTCCCCCCCTTGAGCGGCAGATTCTCAAAAAAAAGTTGTGCACCCAGGAAACAAGTATGGACCCCCCATTATTGACATGTATGTGTTATATTTCAGATGCGATTGCCAACTCTAGAGGGTACCCTATCTTGATCTTCGTGAGATTCATCTACTTTCATCGCGGGCGGTCATAACATCAACGGCAGAACCGTGTAGCTGCCGCAAGGGTCTGTTCCACATATCATTTTCAGGTGGTTTTTTTAAAAAAACAAACCCGGTACCAATATTTATTCGACCAAGAAATGCTACCATGATCATGATCCCAATCCCCAACTTTCACGGTATTATGGCTTCATGGCTTTCACGCCGTGGGACGGCTTTTTCACGCTAATCGCTAATTCACGCTACCCCTCCGGATGTATTTTTGGCATGTTAGTTTAATTTGGCATTAGAATATTTTCAAATTTTGTCGTGCCTTCGGAGGGACCCACATTCGGATTTTCGATTTACCAAAGAATACCGGAAAAAAAACACACTATACAACACTACTACTGTAGATATAATCAATATTTCTGCTGGAGCGCGGGTTTTGATTGCGTCGGCACTAATTTTGGGTACTTGGCAGGGGCCTGGATGTGACCTCTGGAATTTCACCCTAAACTTTGAACATGCATTAAAATGATCACAGCTGGTGGTGACAAAGAAATAAAGAATAACCATTGATTATGAATCAGTTGATCTTGATGGATCACCACATGTTTTGGTAATTCCGATGTTTATCTAATTCTGCTCGTAGGTGGGCCACGGGAAGGCACATCACTGTTTTGATCTGTCTCGTCGCAATGAAAAAGAATCACCCCCAGCTGTCGTGCCTATCAACTTTTGATGGGCGTTCACTTTTGATGGGCAATGTCAACTTTTGAGGGCTGTTCTACATGTATCCCCCTAGCATGGCTTTTGACGCGCCAGGTTCAGGTTGATGATGATGATGATGATGATTATGATGATGATGATTGTGATGACTAAAAGAGATGATTCCATCTTCAGGATCTATGTTTCCATCTTGGAAATGATATCATCAGAAGCTATCATAATCTTCAAAACACAAATTGAATTCGGTCTATACATTGCAAAATGCCCGCGGGAACTGCAAATCTAGGACGCTGGCTCAGAATATGTATGCCACTACTGACTTGGGATGGCCGTTACACTTGGGATGGCCGTTACCTACTTGTGAGGTGCTTAGGCAAAGCGCCCTCCTAGCACGGCCTTTGAAGCAGCAGGTATTTATTAGTATTTTTTTAATATCATTATTGTTATTCTTATTGGTATTGGTATTGGAAATTATTATCTTTAATGTTAGTATTGTTAGTTTTTATTATTATTATCACATACATATACATATATATAATTATATATATATTACGTATACACCCTAGCTTTCCTCAACTATTGTTTAAAATAACCTTCCCAGAAAGGCCGTTTTATTTTGGACAAGAGTGACCATTTTCAACTATACCCGGATCCCCCGCAGACCAGAAATTTGGTCTGAAGTGATTCAGTCTACAAATCAGACTGATCCAGAAATCTCGCCTGAGTTGAAAATTCTCGCCTGAAGTGGTTTTGCTCAATTTTCACCAAAACATTCAACAACATATTAATACATATTATATATATGATAAGAATAAATAAGAGAACTTCAGGTTTTTGTCCAGGTTACATAAGGTATAATAGTATACCGGTATACTCCTACCCAAGAAACGCTTCATGAAATGGGGCCACCGCCACCTCAAATTCCCTAAAGTGGATGGACCATCATGAGAATTTCCACAGTGTGGTTGAAAAAAAGGTAAGAATCACATTCCCACTATCTCACCAAAATCGTTCCCAACATGAGTCAACTGTTTTTTTTCAAAAATTGATCCTCAGGAATTGTTGCCCGGTTTTTTCTTGCAAAAAAAAAACGCGTCACATGTCACAATGTGCTTGACATGTTCGAACATGTTCAAAATTAATTTTCAAAAACATCATAACATCACAATTCATTTGGGTTGCCCCAAACAGATCGCACCAAACATGTTCAGGGCTTTGAGCCCCAGCACCCGGGCACATTCTCAGGTCAGCACATGCGCCAACTTTTACAGTACCCTTCCAATTTTTAACCGCATTCAAGCTGAAGCAGGGGTTATCAGGTGAAAATAGTCATGAATTGAATTCGTGCCTGCAAATAAGCTACAGGAATTCTCGCCTGAATTGGATTTCTCGCTTGCAGTCTATTTTTCTGCCCGATTGTGAAAAAGTCTACTTTCTCTGTTCAGCCCAAAATATCAGCCTGAATGGTGATCTAGGTATGGCCATTCCTTGCCTGAGGCCTAGCCCAAGAACCGTATACAAACCATAGACAAACTGTAGAACGAGCCGTGCAAAACAAACATTTTTTGCCGTAGACCTTTGTCTAAAATTGAAACAGCATGAAGAACCATCCCAATCGAGGGACCAATATTTTTCTGACAAAAAAGAGTGCGGGACGTTGTGGGTCCCCAGTTTTTACGTCATTTTTAGCTGTTTTTTGTTATTTTTAATGCATTTATTTTATTTCTTCAAATAAATTCTTACTGATTAAGTATGGTTCTAGATATGACAAAGTTTATTCTAAGTTCATCAAGTTAAGACATAATATGAACGTTTTTATTAAAATTATATACTGCGGCACATACCCTAAATCGCATTTGAATTCAAATAATGACGAAACAAAATCTATGCTACATATTGGGGATGCCAAAGCAAAGGAGTGTCAAAGGAAAGGGATCTCAAAGCCAATGGTATGTCACTGCAATGGGATGGCAGAGCAATAGACAAGCGATCCGGAATTTGTTGCAGCTGAACTACAGATTAGAAGTATCGTGAATATAATTCTATTTATTGGCGTTTTATAGATATTGTTATTTATTTTTTTTGACCTTTTGCAGAATATGGATCGTGATCCTTATTTGGTTGAACATTCAAGTATGATTGCATGCATGATGGCCCAGGGAGCCAACTAGAGACAAATGACTTTTCTAGCAGACAAGATACCCTAGAGAGTTGCCAAGAGACAGATGCACGTGTAACGGACAAGGATGAGGCTGAAGACTCAATGGCTTAAAGAGCCTCCAAGGTACAGACGAGTGTGCAGCAAACATGATAGCCCAGAGAGTTATCTGGAGACAGACAACATTGTAATAGACAAAATAGCCCAGAGAGGCACCTAGAGACAGATGACGTTGCTTGAGGCAAGATAGCCCAGAGAGCCATCCAGATTTTTTATCATCTTATTCTTCGTGTTCCCTTTATACCTGTTCTCCTTTTGTTTTCTTGTCAAGGCCATGGGATATCGAAGCAATGGAGGGGATCCCAGTCTGCTTACTATGGGGCAGAGACCAATCAAACAGAATAGGAGACAGGACAGTGTCTCCCTAGATGGGCTATCTTGGTGGCTCTAGGTGGCTCTCTGGGCCATCTTGCCTGCTACAGCCTCGTATGGTATTCTTATGGGATTTCCAGTGGGTTCTTATGGGATTTCTATGGTATGTCTATGATATTTCTATGGAATTCCTATGAGATGTCTGAGGGAAATCTATGATATTCTTATGGGATTTCTTTGTGGTACCTATACTAATTCTATGTTATATCTATGATATTTTCAGATGATTCCTCCCCTCCCCTAGCTGGGCTATCTTGGTGGCTCTAGGTGGCTCTCTGGGCTCTGCTACAGTCTCATATGTTATTCTTATATGATTTCCACTGGGTTCTTAATTATGGGATTTCTATGGTATGTCTACCTTGTTAGTTTATACGCCTGTCCGTTGCGTTTGCAAACACTCTTCAAAGCAAATTATCAGGACGCATCAGGTAAGCATATGAGATATCCACAGAAACAAGAAAAATAGCAAGAAACAAGAACAAGAACAGAACACAAATGTAAGAAGCTCCACGACAAGAAAAAATATATCTGGGTTTGCTCTATAGGCCGTCTTGGGAGAGGTAAAGGGGGGGGTCAGCCCAAAAAAAAAAAAATGTTTTTTTTGTTTGTTTTCTGTGTGGCTCTTTCTTTCCTGTGAATTAGAAATATAATCAGAGTCAGGTGTTCCTCAAGTCTGCTTGTTAGTGACACTACAGATTCATAAGCATGAATTCCGTAGACGTAACATTTTTCCTAACAAAGATTCATATGTAATCTGTCACGTCGTCTGTCCAGACATGTGGAAACGTGGGAACTGAGAAACGTGGGAACTGAGAAACGTGGCTTTTTCTTGCAAAAAAAAAACACGTCACATGTCACAATGTGCTTGACATGTTCGAACATGTTCAAAATTAATTTTCAAAAACATCATAACATCACAATTCATTTGGGTTGCCCCAAACAGATCGCACCAAACATGTTCAGGGCTTTGAGCCCCAGCACCCGGGCACATTCTCAGGTCAGCACATGCGCCAACTTTTACAGTACCCTTCCAATTTTTAACCGCATTCAAGCTGAAGCAGGGGTTATCAGGTGAAAATAGTCATGAATTGAATTCGTGCCTGCAAATAAGCTACAGGAATTCTCGCCTGAATTGGATTTCTCGCCTGCAGTCTATTTTTCTGCCCGATTGTGAAAAAGTCTACTTTCTCTGTTCAGCCCAAAATATCAGCCTGAATGGTGATCTAGGTATGGCCATTCCTTGCCTGAGGCCTAGCCCAAGAACCGTATACAAACCATAGACAAACTGTAGAACGAGCCGTGCAAAACAAACATTTTTTGCCGTAGACCTTTGTCTAAAATTGAAACAGCATGAAGAACCATCCCAATCGAGGGACCAATATTTTTCTGACAAAAAAAGGCGTTCCGCAAAAAACCGTTCTTGCAACAACAATTATTCAAAAATTGTCTTTTGAAGTATTGCATATACTATATTGGAAACGGCATTGTCAGAGTTGAAACAAGCAAACATATCAATACTTTTCTCAGCATCACACTATGCGGACTATGACCAGCAATTTCTGTCCGAATAGGCTGGTCAGTCGGTCTTGTAGGGTCTCATTCAAAATTGCATCTTACAACACTGCTGCACATCACCGAACATTCCAATATGATCTGCCAAGGATTAAGATCTGCTAAGTCTGCTAAGTCTAGGTCTCATTGAAGAACGCCAGGCGTTCTCTGATGGCTTCCTGAGACATGGCGCGGCTTTGCGTGGCTGAGGTGAGCCCTCAATCGCCGTGGTGGCTAATGCTACGCCGCCCAGCCTTCTTCGCCTCTTCGTCTGTGCGCACGGATGGCGCATTGTAAGAGAAGCCTACCCATGCCATGGCCTTCCGACAAGTCTTGGTTCAACGTAAACTTGTACTGTAAAACTGATGTCACTGATGTCGGTATTGTCGTGCTCAATCAATCGAGCACCCTTTTTTTCATCTGTTAAGCAAACTTCTTACCATCCTTTGCCCAAAATGCTGCACACTGTGGCACTTTGGAGCCTCGCAAATAGTTTCGACATACTTTTCGATCATCACTTTTGTCCCGGTGTTGGTCACCTGGACTGAGAGATTTGGATTTGTGACATTCTGTGACATTCTGCCACGATGTTTTCCTACTGAACAGGGCAGCAAGGCGAGCCTGGAACAGGGCCGGATTACAAATGCCGAAATGCTTCCTCAGCAGCTCTCCTCGCAAGGCCTGGGAGCGGCATGGAACTGTCCTGGTTCGAACACTGCATCTGCAAGCGATGCAAAAGCCTGATTCATGCCGAGTTAGTCCTGATTCCCCAGGGATCCACGCATACATACAAGCATAAACATCATTGGATTCCTGCCAGGTCATGCCAACAGAATGATCGAATAATCATGTCAATTGAAATTTGATCATGTATGTGCAAGTCAGTTGGGCAGACCATCATTTCTCGGTATCTCTTGGTCCGTTCTCCTGGGCACGTCTGACAGTTGTCACTTTTCGGCTTCCAGAGGCTCCGGATATCTCCGGATGCACAAAAGAACAAGGACCCCAAAAAATGATACAAGTGATACAAGCTTAAAATATTCTGCAAATATTCTGCAAATAGATCAAACCGTATCATTCATGAATGACATCGGGTTGCTATTTTCAAAGCTGAGAGCAGGAGCATTTCGGGCCAAGGAACTCAAGCGGTCAGAGTCAAACAGGGAAGAGTTGTCATCACCTCATCAACATCCCCAACATTCAAGCATCAAAACCAGCTACAGTATCTATAGCAACAAAATTGGTAAAACCAAAATTGTGGTATACAATGGCATGCATACATGCATATAAAGAATCGCAAGGAATTGTCGGCATGTATCTTGAAGAAACCAACATGAGAAAAAGAGCGTTCGATATGGTATGTAATGCCCATAATACGATGAATAAGATATACACATGTGACATTTAATTCTGGTGGTTCAGGAGCCGAGCAATCAGACATATCCGAACGGAATCATTCTTGAAACTGGAATCTGTTCCGAGGGCCCTAACACACCCTAACTAATGGACGGTGTGTAAAAATGTTGCAAGCTCGGCCAATGTCCGCCAACTTATTATATATATGGTCTCGTGTTCTCGTGTTCCGTGTTCCTACCCCCTCCCCTCCCCCTGTGGTGTGGTGGGGGTGTGGTTCTGTCCCCCTGGGCCCTCCCCCCCCTGTGGTGTGGTGGTGTGTGGTGCGGGGTGTGTGAGGGGGGTGTAGTGTATGTATGACAATATATGGCGTGGTGGGTATGGTGAGTATGTGATTATCTGATGTACGGTATGTTTCATATGTATGGTATGTTTGGCATGTATTGTCGGTATAGTATGTATGGTAAGTTTGGAATCTATGGTATGTTTGGTATGTATGGCATGAATGGCTGGTATTGTATGGATGGTAGGTATGGTATGTAAGTCTGTTGGGTACACTATGTTTGATATGACAGTATGTATGGTTTGTATGGTATGTATGGTTACTATGATGGGTATGGAATGTTTGCTATGTAAGGTAGGTATGGTATGTATGGCATGTATGTTTGGTATTGTATGTATGGTAGGTAGGTGTGGTGATTGTGTTTCATATGTATGGTATGTGTGGTATGTATGATAGGTATGGTATGGTATGGTCAAAGTTCGTGTGGTATGAATGGTATGTATGGTATCATTGGAATGTATGGTAGGCACGGTATATGTTAAACACATGTAGTGTTGTGAGAGTACACAGGTAGTAAGTAGGAAGTAGATACACATGTATATATGACGATACGTAGGTAGCACGTAGGTACTTTGAGGGGGTATGTGTGCTACGTCGTCTAAAAGGTAGCATGTACCTAGAAAATGGGAGGCTGGTAGTCAGAAATGCTGCAAAGACCTAGGAAATACGAGGCTGGACCTCAGAAATGCTGCTAATAGCTTGCAAATAGAAGGGAAGGGGGTGCTACCTGGGGACCCATACCATTGGCGGGGGGGTTGGAACGCTGGACCATATATTAAGTAATTTATTATATAATTATATATATATATTATAACAATGGTCATAAAAGGTCGGGAGTCGGGAACCAGGCATTCGCCAGGCAAGTGCAAAGATATTTTTAGAGTGCTTCTCAGGCCCAAACGTTTCCATCTGTCCTTCCCTTCTAGTCTGTCCAACTTCTCTCCAATATGTTGGAAAGAAGCATAGTCTTTGCACTTCCTCTCAGATTCAGAAGAACCGACAGAAGTGCGACAGAAATGACAGAAGTAACAAAGGACACCGAATACAAATCTCTCATGAATGCCTGCTGTGCTCCCAACCTGCGTGCCAATCTCAATTCTTCCCGCAGCCGTCCCTGCAGCACCAATGAATGCATTACTGTATCACATCTCCGAAACACATCCTACATCATCCCACGCTTTATGCCAAACAACGTCTACAATGGTCAACCCGTAGTGCACGCCTTTGGTCCACCCAGGAAGGGGATTTGTCTGGTGAGGGATCGGATCCAGCGGCGAAGTCGCCAAAGCCTGCTGTGTCAGAAAGAACTCTATGGGTCCAACATGCAAAGGCGTGCCAAATTACCCAAAGTCCTAAGTCCTAAGTTTGGAACGCGTGGCGCACGATGATGAGCGCTGTCAAAGCTGTCAATTGTCGGAGAAAAACCTTAAGCTGTAGAGTTGCAGCATGAGGTCGCACCCAGAATCCTGACTACATGGATTCTGAGCACGCAGCGTCTGGGGCCAATACACGCAAAGTAAGCTTAAGCCTCAGATGAGCTTCAAGGCAGTTCAAGGCACTCTTTCCATATCTTTCCTCCGTCCGAAAAGCTTCAAGGTGTGGCTTAACGGGCTGGGCTTGCGTCACTATTTGAAGCACTCGGATGCTTGGATGGCGTGATGCGATGGAGGTCAGGCCGCTCGCCATGATGAAACGATCAAGTCACCCGAATTGTGAGCTTTCAGGTGAAGGCTGAACTCAGGGCTGCTTATTTTCCAAGATGGTCCAAGTGAAACATGTGTTGTATATACAAATATATACAGTACATATGTTACATGCATATAAATACATTTATGTATGCATATGTGTATATATATACGCGACATATAACTTGTATATATATATACACCGATGATTTGCATTAGACAACTGCCCAATCTCCATGAAGATAGGACTCCAGCTCAGAATCACGTGTGGCCTGTCTCTATAAGCTTTGATCGGCGAGGAAGACATCGGCCCACAAATCACATGTTGCCTGCAAGGGGTATTGCAACAGAATCCAGCCACATGAAGGATGGACAGCGGCACATTTTTTCTGACGTCATCTTGTCCAGATCTTCCATCTTCGCTTCACAAATCCGAAGCGGCCAGCATGATGTGCGCATTGTGCAATTAGTTGAAGGAGTTCTTGGAACCTTGGCTTCCGCTTCCAACATCAACTGCTTGGCTTCCCAAATCATTCAGATTTCAATGATGCTGAAAACCACTTGCGAGATCTTAGGAGTGCACCAGTCCATCTTGCCATGTACTCCATACCAGCTCCTGGTCCAACTGACCTGCCATCTACTTGCAACCACTTGCATGGTGACCGTGCAAGGATCGACTGTGACGTGTCAAAATCTAGGGTAAGAAGAAAACATGAAACAAATTGAAAAATAAAAAATACAATATAATACAATGACAATAGATTGAATACGCGGTGCCATTCTTTGGGTCCAGACCCCTTCATTCTCTTGTCAAATTTATTCTTGTCTGGCTCCTCCATGCGCACATTCTTGTACCTTGGCATATCTAGGCAGCTATGCAACTGCGGCTTGTGCAACAGCGGTGGCATCTTTGAAGTCCCGGCCGTTCAAAGAACTGCTCGGTGTATCCGCCTTCGGAACCGCAAAGACGCCCCATGAAAGCCGTTAGTCTCAAGGGACTGAAGGGTTGCTGTAAGGAAGGCGCTGGAAGCATGAAACTGATCATCTGATCTGATGCTGTTAACCCACCATAACCCACCAACAAATGTTTGGCTAGGAGTTATCACCAGTTATCACCCCAAAAAATCCCAAATACCAAAAAACATCTCCATGGCGGCCGCAGTGGCCTCGCCCACCTTCATTCCAGTTTCTCCACCGTTTTCGCTCCTGGAACAACACCGCCCTGGTCTGAAACATCTGAAAAGGTCAAACTCCAGTTGCTGCCCATGGGCAATCACAAAGGAAATAGCCAGTATGCCAAACACATCCCATTTTAACATAAAGCATGGGCCATTCAGGTCAGTTTCATTGAAGCATCATGAAGCATCCTGAAGGATTGAGGCAGGGCGCCCCGCTTTTTCTCCTCAAAGATTCTAAACAATGCATTAGTTTGTTGGCACCGCTGCGGCACACGCCGGCTTCGGTTTGCTCCCTTCTGTACAAGTGGGCAGCACTTAAAAGTTCGCTACAATGTCGTTGCCAAGATTTCAGTTGCGCTTTTTGCAAATGCTGCGCCAATTTCAGGATTGTTCGAGTGTGCAGTACTCGGCCCAGGCTCAGGCAGGAGAATATATGTTGTAAATTAAAAAGTGGGTTCTGCCGCCCTGCCTGGGAAGCGATCTCCATAACTACAATTAGGCGAGGTATAGACAAATGGAGCAACGTAGCACATTGCGTCCAGCAGGAAATTCAGCGAAGTAGATTGTGGGCGGAAGGGCATGGCATATCATGGCATCATATGTCAGTAATTAAATATCAGTGACATTCAGTGACAACCCGGGTGACCAAGTGACCAATGCTGCATTACCCTGCAACAAAGATGCCCATGTTGCCCATTCCTACCGGTCCTACCCAGCATTCTGTTGCTGGCCTCGTGAATGCTGCAATGGCGCTATCGGTGGCGCCAAGTCTCAGTCACCCATCTCCTTCACCGGAATTCGAAGCATCTCAGCCTGGCACGGAGATCTCTGAGATCTCTGAGAGATTCTGAGAATCTGATGGCCTCTTCTTCCCAGCTATGGAATGATATGGAATGCTGTAGCCATGGGTCTGCAGTTGCCTCATCTTCATCTTCGCCGTTCTTCACCTTTCAGACTTTGTGTGATTTTATATGATTTTATGATATGTTATATGTTGTCCAATGATCAGCGCATCTCAGGAAGATTGGGCACTAGAGATATCAGATTGCCAAGCTATATCCCAAGCTTGGATCCGAGGAACAGCTGCCAGGACCTCCGATTTCTGCTCCTGGCTCAACCTCTCCACATTGTTCTTGTTCTTATTGTTTTTGCTCTCCTTGTCCTGAAAAAATGTATTTTTGCCATGGATGGTAGGCCTGCACTTGTGTAGCTTGCCTGCTAATGAAATGGTAGTGGCACATGGAGAAAACCCTGCAACACTGCAACGGGATCTCCTTGGCCTTTGATGTTGTTGCTTTGAGCTCAGACTCCATATCAGCAGCCTCGGGGCATCGATGAATTCAGGGCTAACATAGCACGGAAAGAGGCACGGGATTGTTGAATATGTTTGAGGTCGGGTCCTCAGCACCTGCCCAGGAGGAGCAATGAATGACGAATAATTACGGATAAGAAAGTTTGACTCTTTTGCCAAGGGATGCACAAAGTCTGTTGGTCAAAACTCAAACCGTCAGTGTTTCCCGCATTTTCATGCATGTTCTATCTTCGTATTCCATCCCTGCATGGTGCCGCTACTCGTCCTCTCTACGGCACTTGCAGGTGCCAGATTTTCAGTGTTCCGATTCATTTGGATCTGATGAGTTGCATGCCGGTTGACTTCGTCGACTTGAAAATTGAATGAAATCATATATTTTATTGTTTTTTCCTTCTTATTATTATTAATATTATTATTAAATAATTATAAATATACACATAATTACACACACATATATATATATATATATAAATCATTATAATTCCTGTCCCCTCAAAATCAAAAGGGAAACTGATGCTTTGTCATGAACATCAAAATTCATCAGGAGCCCTACCAGAGTACACCTCAGGCAGGGTGAACCTACTGCTGCACTCATGACCGGGGAGCAACAAAAAAGCTAACATCAGAATAGCAGCTATTCTCTTCGAGTGATTCCGACATAGTTTCTGGCATACTATATATGCAATTATATATAATTATATAATATATATATATATAGTTACATATACACATATATATATATGGCACATTTATTCCGACATTCTATCTGACATTCTTTCTGGCACATACCTTGACATTCTATCTGGCATTCTATCTTGCATTCTCTCCGGCATCTGGCTGATGCCCGGCAGTGCCCACTGAGATCTGGAGCTCGCAGTTGAGGTCTGGCAGTGCCCATTGCGATCCGGAACTCGCAGTTCAAATCCGAGGCTGGCGGAGGAGAAAAAGGCGAAGGAGGAGAAAGCAACTCTGATAAAGTCTAGAGACCCTCACCTGGCAGGTGGGGAATAAATGTCCTTTCTGAAAAGAGTCATTAAGCTAAGGCTAACGCCCAAGAAATTAGAAAGTATATATCTCAGCGTATTGCAGACCCCAAAAAAATATTGTCGGAGAGAGCTGGTGGGGTCATTACCACAGCAAAGCAAGTCAGAGTTCAAAAGGTTGTCAAAATCAGTCCAACGTTTGGCAAAATATGGCAAAATGGCTGACCTTCCTTTATTTTCCACCATTCTCTTTTGCCTCGGGCAGCTGAGCAACAAGATTTGCCTTTCAGTTGCTGCCAGTTTGGGGATGGGATCCGAATCCCATGACCACAATGCAACGGGCTGTTACGGGGTCTATGGAGTCTATGGATGTCTATGGTGCATTTGAAAAGGCAGCCAGTTTGGATAACCCGAACGCCGCGTCATGCTTTGCAGCTTTGTTTTCAGAATTTCAGTGATCTGAGAGGGAAAAAAGTAAATGATAAATGTGACAAAAAATGGACTGAAACAGAACGGAATCCATCGTAAATGATAATGCTGAACCTTTGTTCGGAAGAAAGCACATCATCGAACACCATCGAAAAGGCTGGCCTTCCGCATCTGCTGGTATCTCCCCCTACAGCAACGTGGAACATTGGAACATGTGCAGAATTTCAAAGACTGCTACTAAACTACTAAGGATATTTCGCACTTCCATGAAAAGTTCATTTATATACATTATATACTCTCATATGTTCAGTACACCGTCTTCCATGCGAGCAATGCTGGAGCAACAACAGGTCCCAGCATGGGCCTCGCCACCTTCGACATGGCTGTGTTCGCTTCCTTCCTTCCACTCTGATGCCTCAAGATCGTTCTGAGGATTTCTGAAGGTATCAACTCCACAACAAGTCATGCCGCAGCGCTACTGTACTGGCAGATATGCTGAGAACGATTACAAGACTTGAGATTTCGGCCACATTTTCTCTTGCGTGTGGCACCTGGTGAGAACAAGTCGGAAAACACCAAAAGAGGAGGCTTTTGCTGATTTGCTGACTGCAGTGTCGCTCAAATCGCCTCGTGTTCGACATTTTCTTCAAGAGACTCCGGGACCTCACCACAGTAAACTGAGAACAGGATAGAACAGGCATGCGGCATGCAAATCAGATTTCAGATCTAACATTATAGCCAATAAAATAAAATGCAATTCATTGATGATGCCTGTGTACCAGCTTGCTGCCTCATCAGCCCATTTGAACTGAAATGGTTTCCAAAGCTTTCTGTGTAAAGCCCCGACCGTCTCACGCTTTCTAAAGACTTGCTCTTCCTCGGTCTGTTTGCTGCCCTCCAAGTATATAGTTGTTGGCTGTGCACCTAAATGATCAAAATCATCTTTGGCCCCCTGCAGCAACATCTTCAAACGGCCGCTCAAACCTGCAAGTGCATGCAAACGCTATAAATGCTGTTCATGGATGTTCATGGCTGCATTCATGACTCCCTATGTGCTTCTACATTATGAACAGGTATGAACAGGTCCAAGGTTCCCCTCCATGGTTCCTCTCCATTGTGTCCAGTCACACATCGTCTCACAATGTCAGGCCCGGGCGTTGGCCAAGGAGCACTTTCCGCTTGAGCCTGTGCTTGAGCCTGTTGCACTTCTTCATTTTGAAGCTCTGCGACAGCTGCTTCCTCGGCCTCAGCTTTATCATGTTTTTAACCATATTTGCATCCATTTGCTGCATCCTTTTTGCGCCAAGAATTATGGAGACCTTGGCTTTGGGCCGCTGCAGCCTCTTGCAACGCCTCAAAACAAAAGGGGCGCACGCAAATTCAGGTTTAGCCGCCAAATCTTGGACTGTGACTATGACAATGTTGCATGATCTTATATTGATCCATAAAGAATTCACAAGGTGCAGGTGCAAAGTTCCAAGCTTTCGGTAACGCAAACAATAACATACTGACATACATTACAAGGTCAAGGCAATACATTGCAACTGACGACGTCATGGCATTGCATATAAACCACACCCTCCATCATGAAATGCGCTTACACATAAGAACATGCACTGATATGCACTGTGTCTACCCTTCATGCGTTGACAACACACACACACAAAGACAAGAGGCTGTCAAAATGGTACTTATAGACTTATAGATGACACTACCGTGCAATACAATACTATCAGTACTCTGCAATACGTGGAAGATTCATGAGCCAAACTTCATCAAACTTCTCCAGTCGACAGCTTCGCTTCTCCCTCCTTCTGCTTCTCGACCTTTTGCATCTCCAACTGCAGCTTCTCCCGAGCTGCTTGGATCTCTTTCTCAGCTTTGGCTTGCTCCTGGGGATAACTTGTGGATATTTTTTGGTACCTTGCTATCTGTGACTCATCTGTGATACCGGAATGAACTCTCACAAACTTTCATTGTCTATTGACTCACGCTATGAAGTTCACTCTCTTGGAATCTTCAGCACGCGAAGAACCCTCCTGTGATGGTGGCAAATCATAAGATGTTCGATTCTTACGGGCAAGTAATGTACCCAAAGAAGCTGCACCTCGCCCTTCTGCTCCAACTCCCTTTCAAGCCTGTGCGCCCAGGTTTGCAGAAGGTTTGGCGCTGGACAGAGGTTCTCTGCTCATATCTAATGAATCCAATGCGTGGCATCTCAGCGAAGCAAAGAATTTTTTCAGAGGTCGTCTCGAAGTTTGCGAGTCTCTGGGACCACGGCTCTTTGATGTCCTTTTCTCTCTGCCGAAGCACCTGCAGTGTCAAATCTGAGCTGCTACTTACTGTGACTGGTCGCATGCTTTACTCTTTGACCCCGTCGTTCTCCTTGTGTGCTTCTGTGATTTTTATTGCTCAATACATCTCAATAATTTCTGACTTTGTTTATGACAATTTGAGCTAATCCGAGATGAGCATCACTTGGCATGCTGCCCCAATTTCAACTGGGAAAATTCGAAAACCCATGCAAACTTCATCCGCCGGTTGAATGCTGTATTTTGTCTTTGCGTTCTTCTGACCCGATCCCGCACAAGCTGGATGCCTGTTCTCGAGATTCCAACTGAGACTCTCGAGCCCCATTGAAGGTATCCTCAGCTAATACCACAGCGGTACTTGTAAAGCGTCACTCAAAACCTCTCAAAACTTTCATTACACCCCTGCACAAACCTTCCACGCATGACCATCATGACTCCTGCACTCTCTCAGAAAACATTCTCCTAACTGATTCTATCTGTCCACCAAACCGTTCAAATTTCAGAGGCCTCTGAAAGTCCAAGAACTGGACTTGGAAGAGTTGGCCAATAGACATCGCTCCCTTTGATCCTCCAGTACCACCTAAAGAAATTGTGGGCTGTCTGTGGTCCTACTTCACGTGAAAGGCACTCCGGGCGCTTTGTTGCGGCATTCAGACGCGATCAGCAATCAATATCATGGTGATTGGTGAAATTCATGACTTGCCTCCAGGGTATTGAATACCTACGCAGGGCGGAACTTGCTTCTGAACAAAGGAAAAACAGAAGCGATGCAGTTTTGTTCGCAACCCATGCCCTGCATGGCCGGCGCACGGTCCGTCGAAGATGCAAAGGCGGCTTCGTGCCTGAGGGAAGCAGGCCGTATCCAGGCAGTGGATATGAACCAAGATGCTGAAAACCCTCCGCAAGGACAAACAAACATGTTACTTAAGCGCTTAATTAAGGTGTTGTTTAAGCAATCAGGTGTTGAGCCACGTGTGCAAAAGCATAGATGGTTAGTATACACATATGGGATCAAATGAGTGATCTAAGTCCCGGACTTGTAGACGATTTGCGAGCACCTCTCCAGGACCTGGGTTTCAGCGGGTGTGCGCGTCGAACAAACCGATCGCACAAGGTCAATCACTCTGTATCACACCCCGCATCACACTAGGAAGGTAGCTGATTGCTGCGTGGCTGTGTAGGTTTTCAGGCGGATTCCCTGAAGGTCGCATGGACAGAATTCTTGCAGTCTCTTGCAAGACAAGACTTAAGAATCTGCAGCAGCACACCTCAATGGTGGGTTTTGTATAGCAGGACAGCCAAATATCCGCCTCAAAGCGATTGCATCCAACAGCTGACACATTCCGTCATGATCGATCTTCATATCTTATATTATTAATTATATTTATAAATAATATATATATACTTATATATTCTAACATATGTAATCTAATATCCATTTAGCATCACTTCATTTTGCAGGTAAGTTGAATATCGCGTCTTGGATCAAACAAAAATATGTTGCCGGGGCCATTGCTGAGTACTCTCCAACTCCTCGCCATCGCACCAATTGATGCCTGCAGAGTTCTCCAAAGGTGAGCCAGAATCAGCCAGTTTCAGCACGTGTTTGTTCCCTTTTTTCAATTTCTGCACTACCAAATCTACCAATGTCCTGATTTCACTTTGAGAAACACTCAAACTGACCGTGGAAGTGCTGAGCAAAGAGCTGCACATTGTCAATGTCTTCATGCTCAGCGAGCATCTCCTGATCAGTCACACAAGCTTAAAGATGCTTAAAGATATCCTGATACACTGATATATATATATACTGTATTCCACTAGCCTAATGGATCATTCTGTTTGCTGCAGCTGTGGCTGTCCTGTATATCTCGCACAATTGTGGAAATCTTGGGAATGTCCTGCAGCCTCCCACAATCGATCTGCAATTCTGCTTTCAGCACACCATCCTTCAAAACCCGGCAATCCACAGATCTGCCTGAGCTTCAACTCATACTTAATTCGCCGATGTGTCATTCTGGAGTTGTTCTGAACGTTCAACGACCTGCAATGCCCGTGTTCAAATTTGCATCTGACGCGAAAGGGCGACGGCCGTATTGATCAACAGAATGCGCATTGTAGGCAGAACAACATTGAGATTAAATCGTATTCATACATTATATATACATTATAATAAGCATGAAGCCCCCCCTCTCGCCCAACATCATTCAGTCTGATGCTGAATCTGTCATCGAGTTAGATCCTAGATGATCATGTGGATGTTGTTGATGATGTTGTTGATGACGATGATGATGATGAATATGATGGTCCCGCACAGGTGCCCAATTATGCTGTGCGTATGCTGTGCGTATGCTGTGCGTTCCGAAAGAGAACATATAGATGGCGACAGTGTGCAAAATTGCATTATGTTCTTCAACTTGTTCATCTCATCCCAATGTCATCGCCAACAAAACTGACCAAAACGAGGGGTTTGGCCATAGGATCGCAATAGTTGTACCACTGTCCCTATATCGAGACAAATGACCGATGCAAATGGTGCGGTATGATATATAGCATAATGCTATACATACATATACATACCACACGTTGCACCTGGGCATTTCCTCCTGCCGTCGCCAATGCGCTGGGGCGCTGGCATCAATTTACCATTTGGCACATAGATGGGACGCTTGTCCCACTGCACCACCTGCGAATTTCGTGCTTCGAAAAGTGCGCTTCGGAGGCCGAAAAAATCCGAGGCGGCCTTGGTGTAGAAGCTCCCAACATCTTGGACCCAGCCATCCTGTCGCGACTTCCCTTTCGCCAAGATCCATTAAGTTGAGCTGCAACCGCAACCTCCGGCATCCGCTAGTGCAACGACAAACAGGTCAGGGTGGCAATGTCTTCATCTGTGAGCGAGATCCAGTCACCTGGTCCCACATCTGAAAATTCCGAGCTGAACGCAAACTGTCACAGCGGCATGGCATCTATATGTGTATTATGGAAAGATCTGGAAAAATGTTCTAGTGTCATACAATCATTCTTGTGCAGAAGACTGGAGATTATAGGTGGCCTTGAGCGAATGGCTGCGTCAAATGTAGAACCACACCGCTGATCCTTGGCACAGAATCGAATCGGATAAACTTTCAATCCAAAGCTAAGGCCAAAAAAACTCCGCAAAGCATAGAACCAGCTTAGGCTGCCCACATGTTGCAAACAATTTCACGGCCAACCCAACCTCGGTGGTGTTTGTGGCCGTTGGAGGCATTTATGATAAATACAGTCACAAACATCCATGGTTTCACAGTTTCAAGGATGTGTGCATGCAGCGACTCCACTGACAAACCACAGCATCGTACAACTGAAACTATATATGGCAGTCTTTACCTGAAACTATGGCACTCGAGTTATCGTCTTTAAAGTCACTTCACTTCAAAATAGTGGCAAGTAAACATCCAATTGGTGAACATCTAAATCATCTGGGTATGGATCAATACCTATTAATACCATTTTTAGTGGGTTATTCACATCCATTTACCAGCTATTTTAGTGGGTTTTAACATCTAAATCATCTAAACATCGAAACTTTTTGGTGCTGGGTGGCGAGCCAATGACAACAGCAGTCGTCCCAGGAATCCTGAATTGGCATGCCGAAAGTCAACAAACCCTTGGACCATGACATCAAATACGATGAAATATGATGACATATGATCAAATATGATCAAATATGATCAAATATGATCAAATATGATCAAATATGATCAAATATGATCAAATATGATCAAATATGATCAAATATGATCAAATATGATAAAATATGATCAAATATGATGACATATGATGAAATATGATGAAATATGATGACATATGATGAAATATGATGACATATGATGAAATATGATGAAATATGATGACATATGATGAAATATGATGAAATATGATGAAATATGATGAAATATGATGAAATATGATGACATATGATGAAATATGATGAAATATGATGACATATGATGAAATATGATGACATATGATGAAATATGATGAAATATGATGACATATGATAAAATATGATCAAATATGATGAAATATGATGACATATGATGAAATATGATGAAATATGATGACATATGATGAAATATGATGAAATATGATGACATATGATGAAATATGATGAAATATGATGAAATATGATGACATATGATGAAATATGATGAAATATGATGACGTATGATAAAATATGATTAAATATGATGAAATATGATGAAATATGATAAAATATGATCAAATATGATGAAATATGATGACATATGATGAAATATGATGAAATATGATGAAATATGATGACATATGATGAAATATGATGAAATATGATGACATATGATGAAATATGATGAAATATGATGAAATATGATGACATATGATGAAATATGATGAAATATGATGACATATGATGAAATATGATGAAATATAATGAAATATGATGACATATGATAAAATATGATCAAATATGATGAAATATGATGAAATACGATGAAATCTGATGAAATATGATGAAATATAATGAAATATGATCAAATATGATGAAATATGATGACATATGATAAATTATGATCAAATATGATGAAATATGATGAAATCTGATGAAATATGATGAAATATAATGAAATATGATCAAATATGATGAAATATGATGCAATATGATGACATATGATAAAATATGATGAATATGATGACATATGATAAAATATGATCAAATATGATGAAATATGATGAAATACGATGAAATCTGATGAAATATGATGAAATATAATGAAATATGATGACATATGATAAAATATGATGAATATGATGACATATGATAAAATATGATCAAATATGATGAACTATGATGAAATACGATGAAATCTGATGAAATATGATGAAATATAATGAAATATGATGAAATATGATGACATATGATAAAATATGATGAATATGATGACATATGATAAAATATGATCAAATATGATGAAATATGATGAAATACGATGAAATCTGATGAAATATGATGAAATATAATGAAATATGATGAAATATGATGACATATGATAAAATATGATGAATATGATGACATATGATAAAATATGATCAAATATGATGACATATGATAAAATATGATGAATATGATGACATATGATAAAATATGATCAAATATGATGAAATATGATGAAATACGATGAAATCTGATGAAATATGATGAAATATAATGAAATATGATGAAATATGATGACATATGATAAAATATGATATGATGACATATGATAAAATATGATCAAATATGATGAAATATGATGAAATACGATGAAATCTGATGAAATATGATGAAATATAATGAAATATGATGAAATATGATGACATATGATAAAATATGATGAAATATGATGAAATATGATGACATATGATAAAATATGATCAAATATGATGAAATACGATGAAATATGATGAACTATGATGGAAAAAATGAAATATGATGAATATGATGAAATATGATGAAATATGATCAAATATGATCAAATATGATGAAATATATATAATGAAATATGATAAATTATGATGAAATATGATGAAATATGATGAACTAGGATGGAAAAAATGAAATATGATGAACATGATGAAATATGATGAGATATGATCAAATATGATGAACTATGATGAAATATGATGAAACATGATGAAACATGATGAACAAAAATAAAATATGATGAAATATGATGGAAAAAATGAAATATGATGAAATATGATGAAATATGATCAAATATGATCAAATGCCAAAACAATCGAAAAATGATGAAGGATGCCACAATGCTACACTAAGGCAGCAGCAAAAGGAGCTGGCTCAGTTGAATTCCACCATGCCAAAGCCTTAGTTTTTGTTGCGGTCGTCCTTCGTCTAAGAGAGTGAAGACTTTTGAACAGCGGCAGTGCGTCAGCTGAGGCGACTGCAGAGCGAACAGATATGAAGCCCATAGCAAGACCTGCTATTTGGATCTATTTCGAACTATTTCTGATTATTTAATAAAATATGTAAGGAATTGTAAGGATATATGAGGGGACTTCATCACTTTAGACATCATGAGGCGAAAAACTCCAGGAGTGCCACGACCAGGCCTTCATTGAAGTCTGCAAAGCATTAATTCGGGCCTCCCTGAGACTGGACCTGAGCCGGGGAAACCAAAAACCCACGGACCCCGGCCCCAGTCAAACGCATCAATATTCATCAAGTCTATCATCAAGATCATCAAGTGTATACCCAAAATTGTCCAAAAATATCCAACCATGTTCTCCATGCCAGTTCTATCCGTGATGTTCTACCTCGGAACTATTGCTAGTTGCCCAATCTAGTTCGACATAGTTCGACCGCGCATTTCTCCCTGCATGCTGCATATCCTCTTATTTTGTACCCACTGGATCCACTCTGGATCGCTGCATCGCTGGCTTCAAGTGCCCAGGGCAAGACGATCTAAGATCATCTAAGATCCCTGCTGCATTCCCATGACGTCGCTCAGCTCAGCTCTTCCTCTCGAGACACGTTGTCCCCACCTCGGCAACGGCCCACATAAAACAAAACAAATAACACCGAGATGAAACGAGCGGCATCGAGTGCAGAATCTGAGGTACAAACAAACGCACCAAGCGGTGCAAAAACCTGGACACAGCTGAAAGCTGAAAGATCTGAAAGCCACTGTCTTTTTTAACTCTGATATGTCCTGACTAAAAAACAAGTAAGTGTTGCTGTCTTGGCATAACTTCGGATCATTTAGGATACCCTCTTCTGTTGGCACAATATGGCACAATATAGCCAACAAATGAACACATCTATTTTTTTTTGCAGTGGGCTTGGCCTATAGACCTATAGTATCATTAGTATTTACAGTAGAGATTAGATGAAATTAGTGCACCTTACCCAAGCGAGCAAACCACTCCAGGACCATGTTCGTAGTGAATGTTCATCTAAGCCTCTTACCAAGCAACAGCAGTCCAGCTGGGAACCACCACCAACCTGCAGCGCTATCGACTGTTCTCAAGGTATGCTGATTTGGTATGGCCACGAGCCACGAGATCCACGAGTCATGTCTCTGAAGAGTCTGATCTGGGCAGTCTGGGCCACAAGCTTTTCCAAACACGATCGATACATTGCGAATTCTTTCCGCGACCTGAGGGCAGTTGGGATGCTTCAATCTATTTCAATCTGCTCATCTGCACTTCTCTTTAAACCACGACCAGTTCTGGGCATTCCCACCACATTGGCGAGACGAGGCTTGCCATGAAAGTCAGGGTAAGTGTTGACCTTCGCTTTGACTGATAGTGAGCAGCATTCAACCAGTCAAACCCTTGAGTGACAAAATATGACAAGTCATATATATTCAACATCATTCAACACCATTCAACATCAAGCATTTCAAGTCAAGCCCATCCCATCCGAGCCCAGCACCAGCCCCACAGCAGGATGGGACCTCTGGGCACACGACCAGCCCTACACGACCGTGAAGAAAAAACAGCGCGGTCCGTCGGTCATCGTCGGTCCGGTGCTCACCTTGAGCTCTGAGTAAGATGGCACGTGCCAGGTCCAGACTCCGCCACCTTAGGCGTTTCCAAAGTTGGGGAAGGCCGCGATATCTTGAAACTTGCAATACACAGTATTACAGTATACTAATAATGTATAATACACATCAATAAGCCGGATGAAACGGTTTACAGTAAACACGGAATATGATAAATAAACCAAAACTGCCGATATGATCCGATATGTGCTGTACATGTCATATTGGACTAATATCGATTGTTCTTCAGTGGCTAAACGTAAGGTGCATCTCACGTAGGCTTGTCTGCCAGGCGAGAATCCAATGTGACTTCAGCCAAGCAGGCCTGCCAGCAATCAAGCCCTTTCACAGACCCCATCATGTTCCAGTCTCGGTCCATCCAATCCAAACGTCGAAATATGTTGAATTTATGTTAATGTGTTTACTGCATCATAAATTGTTACTAATTATACAAATATAATTACTGTATGACGATTGATATGCTTTGCTGTTGACGAGAAGACCAATAGAACACCATTCCACTTGATGAGGTGCTGCACCTCCGCATCGGCTGGTAGAACCGCAGCGTCAAGGGCATTTTTGCCTCTTGTATCGCCTTGGACTCAAGTTGCGTGACTATATTTGCATATAATTTCACTAATTTATGATGGCATGCAATTGAACAATATTGAACATATATATATTATAATATATATATATAAGTAGCCATGGAAAACCACAATTTTCAACAGGTCAATCATCCATAAAGGATTATAAATTGGCAATGTTCATCCGTTTCCATAGCTATGTTACGTTCCATTACTGGAAGGTAGGGGCCGACATGGGCCAACGAAACTTTCAGCTCCCGCACCTTCCGTGAGTTTAGGACCTACAGCAACTGGCTGTGCTTTTGACCCGGCGTCTGGCGCAGCTCTGGTGTTCTGCTTGGTGGTCATTTATGATATTTATGGATCATCATCCCAACATATCCCAAATATGGCGGATAATTTTGAAACCAAGCATGATTTTTTCATATTTTTTCCATGGTTCTCCTTCATTTCCCGGCCTTCATCCCCTCAGAAATCTTGACGTCCTCCAAATCCACGCTGCTCTGAAACACCAAATCATCCCCAAGGGCCTCCTCGCTAGCGCAGCGGGAAACAAATACTGGGCGAATCTAGGCGAATCTGGGCGAAAAATGGAGAAAACTTGGTTTCAAATGGTTTCAATGACTTGATCTGTAAGGGAAAAAATGGGAAAAACTATCAACCAAAACACCCTTACACCTTGACGGAAATGTCGTGCAAATGTTCCCTTCCATCCGGGACACAAAGACCTCCAGCCGCACCTGTACGGAGGTAAGCTCGTCTTTGGTGAGAACCCTCGGCACAGCACTTGCCTTTTGTGGGGTTCGCTCTGATATCTCGTCAAATGTAGAAGCAAAATATAGCAAAATATAGCAAAATATGATCAAATATATATCAAATACTATGAGAAAGCAATAAGGGCATGGAAATATGATGAAGCAGCTGCGATTTCTCGGTGCACTGCGCGTACTGTGCTCTGAAAGCAATGGCAGAGAAGCACTCATTGCAAATTGTGGCAAATAAATGTGAAGTAAAGCATATTTCTTCATGGCCAACACTCATTGTGATCTACCCCTCTGATGCCATCAAGGCTTCCTTTGTGAGATAAGCCAGGGGCTACCATAGCAATGGGGGTAGCCTCTTGGGCCAACGGGTATGGTACCGTTGCCCGTGCGCCCGAAATAGCCTTGCTTGGCATTGGCAAGAGCCTTCAAGTTCCATCATGCGACCCATCCATTTCCACACGGCATCGTAGTCAAACAAATAGGCTTCGTTGAGCTTCATGCGGTTGTGATAGATAGGGACATGGCGCCAAAGCATGGTGAATGCCCGTATGTCACTCTGTGACCGCATCACCGATGACGAAGTCATGCGTTTTTAGCAAAGCATTGAGCTTTTCAAGGGCTGATGGACATCTTGATTCGATGAAAAGCCTGCCTTGTAGGCCCCGTTGTTGATATCTGTATAGATCATTATAGATGCAGGCGTTTGCATCATCCGTTTGTTTTCGCAGCGATGGTGGGTAGAGTCGAGCTCGATATAATTTATATAAATTGTTGCGTATGGCAACATCACCGTCGCAAACATGCGTATCATCTCCCCACTCTCATTGTTTACAACCCTCTTCGTCTCCCCTTATGATACAAGATCAGGAGAAATTCTTGCTCCAACCCTGACTCGGTGTAGATGTCAACAATACATGTACTGGCTGGTATACTTCTTTCCTCCAACTGAATCTGCTGTACATTCATAGGAAAGCAACATGGCGTCCATCCATGTCACCTCTTTCATCCCAGGCGGTGGTGCGTTAGGGGAAGCACACGGCACACGTCCATGGCGCTGGAAACTCCACGCACAAATTCACCACGGCGTGCCGCAGCGTTGCTTCGATCATCAATGGTGACACCAGCGCCACTGCCATGGCTGAATGCTGAATGCATGGCCAACTGACGTCCTGAAAATGCGTAGGCACAAGAGCAACATCTGTGCAACAAACACATGAGATACAGTAGATATCAGTAGATAGATTAGATGGTTTGATAGAGAGCCACAAGACCAACTCGTTTATGCGCTCACTTCAGTAGAAGTTGGCTAAGTCACAATTGAGGGCTGCACATTGCAGTTTTGGCGTTCAAACGTCTGAACATTTTCCGCCTCACAACACGCAATGTATGAAACATTATGAAACAAAAATCATGAAGAAAATTAAGAACTTAATAGCACCCATGAAGTCCGAAAGAGTCACACGAGTCTCAGGCGAGCAAGCAATAGCCTTGGAAACTCACAAACACTTGCAATTTAGCCCAAACACAATGTGGTGTTGGTTCCTGCGCGCTGGAATTGGTGGAACCTATGTAAAAGACGCAGAAAATCAGGTCAGCACACGTTGGACCACGCGCATCTGGATTACAAGAAGAACAGCAACCTGACTTCAAACAGGTCCATGTGTCATTCCTTCCAAGTCTGCCTGACCCATCATGCAAAATCATGCAAACATAGCCACTGCAGAAATGATACTTTATTATATGCGAGATATTGTTTTTTTTCCTGGAAATTGGTTTACCTTCACTCTGCCACAAGGCTCAGCATTAATTTGATCAAGAGTGGCAACTCGGCCCACGACCTTTAACCAATTGATTTGCGGAATCGTCCTGCACCATGAGTCACCCCCTAGTCCCAGTCAAACAACTCATGAGGGCATACCGCCCACATCTACTTGCCTTGTATTGCCTTGCCATAGTTGTTGCAATGGTTGTTCTTCACTGTTTTCATGTTTGAACTGCCCTGCCGGCTTTTCGAAAGGTGTCAAATTGTGCATTAATTTGAACAAAACCTATTGATTGTACCAATCGGCTAACCGTGACTAACCAAGGTTCAAGTCGAAATCCGGACAGCGCCCAGCATTGATTTGAGACATTATGTTTCCGCTTGTTGGCTGAAGTTTTGTATGGTTCTGATATGCTGTACCAGTAGTACCGCACAAGGCGGTGGCGGAAGTTTCAAAAATAGGAAACCTATAGGAGAGATTGGCTGTTGTGAATTAGGGATGGCAGAGCGAATCCACTGATGGACCGAAAGGTGCTTGAGGTCTCCTCTCTTTCTCTCTCTTTCTCTGACTACCTACTTACCTACCAGCCTATCTTCTATGTATCTATCTATCGATCTATCTATCTAGCTATCGATCTATCTATCTATCTATCTCTCTCTCTCTCTCTCCCTTTGATCTGTCTATCTGTCTAGCTGTCTACCTGTCTATCTATCTATCTATCTATCTGTCTGTCTGTCTGTCTGTCTGTCTCTCTGTCTCTCTGTCTCTCTGTCTCTCTGTCTCTCTGTCTCTCTGTCTATCTGTCTATCTGTCTATCTGTCTATCTGTCTATCTGTCTATCTGTCTATCTATCTGTCTACCTGTCTATCTGTGGTGCAGTGTCATTCAGTGTAATGTAGTGTAGTGTAATGTAGTGTAGTGTAGTGGAGTGTAGTGGAAGGTAGTGTAGTGTAGTGTAGTGTAATTTCGTGTAGTGGAGTGTAGTTGTGTAGTCGTAGTTGTAGTTGTAGTGTAGTGGACTGTAGTGTAGTGTAATGTAGTGAAGTGTAGTGGAAGGTAGTGGAAGGTAGTGCAGTGTAATGTAATGTAGTGTAGTGGAGTGTAGTGTAGTGTAATGTAGTGTAGTGTAGTGTAATTTAGCGTAGTGGAGTGTAGTGGAGTGTATTGTAGTGGAGTGTAGATGTGTAGTTGTAGTTGTAGTTGTAGTGTAGTGGAGTGTAGTGCAACGTAGTGAAGTGTAGTGGAAGGTAGTGCAGTGTAGTGTAATGTAGTGTAGTGTAGTGGAGCGTAGTGTAGTGTAATGTAGTGTAGTGTAATTTAGTGTAGTGGAGTGTAGTGGAGTGTAGTTGTGTAGTTGTAGTTGTAGTGTTGTGTAATGTAGTGTACTGTAGTGGAGTGTAGTGTAATGTAGTGTAGTGTAGTGAAGCGAAGCGACATCTGAACCTCCAAAAGTGATCCGAACCCCTGGTGTTTTTAACATTTTGACTTCGAAGTGTGCTTCGCGCCACAACGGCGTGCACTTTTTCGACATCTGAACCTCCAAAAGTGGTCCGAACCCCTAGTGCTTTGTACATTTTCACTTGGAAATGTGCTTCGCGCCACAACGGCGTGCACTTTTTCGACATCGCAACTTCCAAAAGTGCTCCGGCCATTGTGTGTTTTGTATACATTTTGACTTGGAAATGTGCTTCGCGCCACGACGGCGTGCACTTTTTCGACATCTCAACTTCCAAAAGTGCCCCGACCATGGTGTGCTTTGTACATTTTGACTTCGAAATGTGCTTCGCGCCACAACGGCGTGCAATTTTTCATCTCTCATCTGGCCAGCTGGCTCCGCATCCCGCCGCTTTAGCGAGCCTACTTTTCGACCCTCCGGAGCCACAAATCATTGGAACTAGACGACGGTTGGCCCGAGAGCGAAAAAGATGTGTCTACGTTCACATCTGAGCCAAGGAAAGAGGTAAAGAGGTAAACTATGCTTGTCGGTGCAGAGTTGCACAATCCACTGCAAAGGATTTGTTCGCTGCGTTCCAAACTGAGAATGCCATCACACACAGACGCTCCTACACGCAGATGCTTATTACACACGCACACACGCTTTCACACACAAACGCTTTTACACACAGACGCTTTTACACACAGACGCTTTTACACGCAGATGCTTTTTACACACGCACACACGCTTTCACACACAAACGCTTTTACACACAGACGCTTTTACACACAGACGCTTTTACACACAGACGCTTTTACACACAACACTTTCACACACAGAGGCTTTTACACACAGAAGCTTTTACACACAGAGGCTTTTATACACAGAAGCTTTTACACACAGAGGCTTTTACACACAGAAGCTTTTACACACAGGCGCTTTTACACACAGAAGCTTTTACACACAGAACTTTTTACACACAACACTTTCACACACAGAGGCTTTTACACACAGAAGCTTTTACACACAGGCGCTTTTACACACAGACGCTTTTACACACAGACGCTTTTACACACAGACGCTTTTACACACAGACGCTTTTACACACAAACGCTTTTTACACATAGGCTCTTTTACACACAGACGCTTTTACACACAGACGCTTTTACACACAGAGCCTTTTACACACAGACGCTTTTACACACAGACGCTTTTACACACAACACTTTCACACACAGAGGCTTTTACACACAGAAGCTTTTACACACAGAGGCTTTTACACACAGAAGCTTTTACACACAGGCGCTTTTACACACAGACGCTTTTACACACAGACGCTTTTACACACAGACGCTTTTACACACAGACTCCTTTACACACAGAGTCCTTTACACACAGACGCTTTTACACACAGAAGCTTTTTACACACAGACGCTTTTACACACAGACGCTTTTACAAACAGACACTTTTACACACACCTTTTACACACAGACGCTTTTACACACAGACTCCTTTACACACAGACGCTTTTACACACAGACGCTTTTACACACAGAAGCTTTTACACACAGACTCCTTTACACACAGACCCTTTTACACACAGAAGCTTTTACACACAGTAAAATTGCAATTGTTTGTCAGTTTTTGACGTCCAACGTCCATTTCGTGCGTAAGGGTTGCGCGGGACTACTCAAAGTCGCAATTTTTCCTCAGTTTTTGACGTCCAACGTCCATTTCGTGCGTAAGGGTTGCGATTGACACTTCAAAGTCGCAATTTTTCCTCAGTTTTTGACGTCCAACGTCCATTTCGTGCGTAAGGGTTGCGATTGACAACTCAAAGTCGCAATTTTTCCTCAGTTTTTGACGTCCAACGTCCATTTCGTGCGAAAGGGTTGCGATTGAACCACTCAAAGTCGCAATTTTTCCTCAGTTTTTGACGTCCAACGTCCATTTCGTGCGAAAGGGTTGCGCGCGACGGATCAAAGTCGCAACTTTTCCTCAGTTTTTGACGTCCAACGTCCATTTCGTGCGAAAGGGTTGCGCGGGACGCTTCAAAGTCGCAACTTTTCCTCAGTTTTTGGCGTCCAACGTCCATTTCGTGCGAAAGGGTTGCCGGCGACGCTTCAAAATCGCAATTTCACCTAGGTTTTGGACGTCCAACGTCCATTTCGTGCGAAAGGGTTGCGTTTCGTGGCGCTCCGGCGGCACCGCCCCCGCCTTAAGAGAGAATAGAAGAAGAGCGAGAGGAGATCTGCAGATGTGAGGGTGTGAAGATCTAGATCTGCAGGTGTGAGGGTGTGAAGATCTAGATCTGCAGATGTGAAGGTGTGAAGATCTAGATCTGCAGGTGTGAGGGTGTGAAGATCTAGATCTGCAGGTGTGAGGGTGTGAAGATCTAGATCTGCAGGTGTGAGGGTAAGAAGATCTAGATCTGCAGATGTGAAGGTGTGAAGATCTAGATCTGCAGGTGTGAGGGTGTGAAGATCTAGATCTGCAGGTGTGAGGGTGTGAAGATCTAGATCTGCAGATGTGAGGGTGTGAAGATCTAGATCTGCAGATGTGAGGGTGTGGAGATCTAGATCTGCAGATGTGAGGGTGTGAAGATCTAGATCTGCAGGTGTGAAGGTGTGAAGATCTAGATCTGCAGATGTGAGGGTGTGAAGATCTAGATCTGCAGGTGTGAAGGTGTGAAGTCTAGATCTGCAGGTGTGAAGGTGTGAAGTCTAGATCTGCAGGTGTGAAGGTGTGAAGATCTAGATCTGCAGGCGTGAAGGTGTGAAGATCTAGATCTGCAGGTGTGAAGGTGTGAAGATCTAGATCTGCAGATGTGAGGGTGTGAAGACCTAGATCTGCAGGTGTGAAGGTGTGAAGATCTAGATCTGCAGGTGTGAAGGTGTGAAATATGTGATCGGCAGGTGTGAAGGTGTGAAGATCTAG